GTGGGAAAAATTTGGTTATTTAAGGACCACTGAAGCATGACTGGAGCGGGCCCCCTCTTATGGCAGTCAGTGGGCCCCACTTATGAAAATTTCTGGATCCGCCACTTAATAATAGATATGATAATTCCATTCTCTGGACAAAACTCTTTTTTTTTTAGAGAAGTGTCCTAATAGGTCAGAAAAGCTACACTTGAAAACAAACAAGAAGCTCTAAAGAGACTGAATCGCTCACCTGCTAGAGGTAATACCACCATTGTTTTTCCCTATTAGTCTGATAAATTGGCACTTTTCAAAATATTTGGCAGAATTCATCTTTGTTTCAAATAAAGAAATACTTGGCATGAGTAAAGTTTTATCCTGTCCAGTACTACAGATAAAATTTCACATAACATTTCATTGCATATAAGATAATAACCATCACTGGATGTTAACCAACCAAATTTTCACCCCTTTTTTCATGTTTACCAGCTTTAGAAACCATGTAACCTCAAGTTTCCGAAATATTTTATAGAATTACCAAATAAAAAAAGAATGGTGCTTTGAAACACCCAAGATATATGTTTATGACTCAGAAATTTTTTTCTGCATCAACGAAATGTAGGATTAATTTCCTACAAATGTCAAATTCAAGGGAATATTTTTTTTTCAACCCTTTTACGTATGTAACGGGATGTGACGTACTATCATTTGATGGTATTACACCTGGTAAAGACATTTCATTTTGATATTTATTTCTACCTTTATTGCAATCAGTTATTTTTGGTTATTTGTAGATCTAATACTGATGATCATTGTTACTGTTTAAAGTTTATAATACCTATCTTTTAAAGTCTTCCATGTAATTGGCCAAATTATAAAAAATAGTAAAAATCATCATTTAAGGGCAATAAATCCTATAATGAGTTTGACAATTTGGCCATTTTGACTTACGTGTAGATCTTATTTTGCTGATAAAGTTCTCTTTATCTATTATAGCTTTTTGACAAAGGTAAAAATCATCATTCCGGGAAAAAACTACTATAGGAGTCTATTGAATAATTTAACTAAGTTGATTTACTGTTCGAACTTATTGTAGTGAACCATTTTGACTTTTACTGTTTTCTCCATCTATTGCAGTTTCTGCAAAAAACGCAAAAATAATCTTACAAGGGCAAAAATCCTCTAAGGGGTATATTGGGCGATAACAGAATCTGCAAAAAAATAGTAAATGGGTAAAGATTGTTTCAAGGGGCAATAACTCTTGTAAGGAGTCAGTGGTCAATATAACTGAATTATAAACAACTCATATAAATGAGAGGATTAGCTAGCTAAAGAACCAGGAAAATGGCTGTACCAATTCAGCCTATCACAGTTCTTTTCCAATTGCTCTGTTAAATGATTAATTCTAACGTTTGATTTGTTAGTTTTTATGGCCCTTTTAGGGATTTACCTTGGAGTTTGGTATTTTTGTTAATACCTTCTGCTGTAACGATAAGTTTGCGCTGGGTCATAAATAATAGTCCCAGGTTTATGAGATACAAGTCAAAAACTGTAAAATTGTCTAAAAACTGACATTCCAGGGGCTAATGTAAATAGAAAATAATGAAGACAAGGCAAAGACAATTCATACCAACAGACATATCAACTAAATCCAAGACCATTATTCTGTTATAGTGGTCTCATAGCAAATAGAAAACAAAAAAGCATGAAACACAAGCATTCTGAGAGTATTGCATGGCAATACATAGTCCCCTACTGGTACCGGAACAAAATGCTAACTTGATCTATAACTTGTCATGGTGCAAACTTTATAACAAATATCAGGTCAATATCTTCAAGCATGACGAAAAAAAATGTGGAAAACTGATTATTTAAATGAATTTCAAAAGTCCAAGGACCATAACTTGGCACAAAATCATCAGACCGAAATAAAATTCGAACTTGATCTGTTACTTGTCATGATAAAAAAAAAAATACCAATTATCCAATCAATAATCTTCAAGCATGACTAAAAAAAGAGAGGAAAACTGATTATTTGAGTGAATTTTCTAAGTCCAAGAACCATAACTGCACAAAATCATCGGAACGGAACAAAATTTGAACGTGATCTGTAACTTGTCATGATAAAACTATAAACCAATTATCCATTCAATATCTTCAAGCATGACGAAAAAAAGTGAGGAAAACTGATTATTTGAGCGAATTTTCTAAGTTCAAGGACCATTACTCTGCACAAAATCATCAGACCGGAACAAAATTCGAACTTGATCTGTAACTTGTCATGATGAAACCATATACCAATTATCAAATCAATATCTTCAAGCATGACGAAAAAAAGTGAACCCTTTGGACCTTAAAGTGGACCAATTTAAAAACAGGGCCAAAAATCTGAAATCTAAATACACTCTAAGATTCAGCATATTAAAAAAACCCAAAGAATTCAAGACTTTGAATTAAACCCAATTGAAATTGGTCAAGAAATAAGCCATTTATACAAAGTATTAGAAAAGTATTGTATTTGGTCCCTTTTTCCTAAACGGTTTGGGCTATAACCCCTCCCCCCCCCATATCAATCCCAACCTTCCTTTTGAGGTATGGAACCTTGTGGTACAGTTTCATAGAGATCCATACACATAAACACAAGTTATTGTCCTAAAACAACAAAAATGCTTGTTTTTGGCTACTTTTTCCTTCAGTAAGGACAATAACCCCTAAAATCGATCCCAGTCATCCATTTGTGGTTTGAAACTTTGTTGTATAATTTCATAGAGATCCATACACTTATACACAAGTTTTTGACTGGAAACCAAATGTCTTCGGACGATGACGACAACAACGTCATACCATTATACAGCCGCAAAAGTTTTCAGTTGTATAATAAAAACCAGAATATTAGAAGCTTTAAAACAGACATGCAAAATTGTAAGTCTGAAGGATAAGCATTTATTGATCATACTGTTTATCCCTTTGTAGTATCTGTGGTCAAGTCACTTACAGTCTAACCTTGAGTTTGTTGTCCATCATTCAAACTTCATTCCTACATTTAATCATATTGTCTGGAACTACCAGCTGCATATAATTCTTCCAAGCATAATATTTGTAACTCTTGTATAAACAGTTGTTCCAGTTAAAGGTTGCTGGTTAATGGCAATTAATAATTGTTTTGTCTCCTCCAAAGAAACTATAGAGCATTTTTCAGCTATCATAGAAACTTTCTTACTCTCAAGTTTTGGTAAAAGTCTTGTTGATTAATTTTCTATTTTCTGAGTGCGGGTAATATTTTGTCTTTCTTTCTTGTTCTTTTCCACAACAGGGCTGTCTGCCTATCTAATTAACTTAGAATTTATGATGCTATAGTCAACAAAAAGTGATATTTACACTTTTTACAATCGCCATACACCATTAATTGATAATTTTGAGATCAGATAGTCATAAACATACATATATAGCTGCTTCTAATTTGGCTTTCACAAAAGTGAACATGTACAGTGTATGAACCTACAAGCTGTAATCAACTGTAGTGCTCACCTCAAGCAATAATCATTATGGGTTCCATTCCTGACCAGGACTAACAGGGACTTGAAAATTATTATTTGCTGCTTATCTGCTAAGCAAACAACATAAGAGCAGACTGGTTAGCAGACTGTTAAATGATTCTCAGTGTATTAACCTACAAGCTGTAATCAACCAACTTGCTCACCTCAAGAGCTGGATCCCTGACCAGGACTAACAGACTTGAAAAGCTAAGAACACAGCATTTTAAAACAAGAGCAGACGGGTTGGTAGACTTTTAACTAAAGCTCAGTGTATTGGTATAGTACAAAGTTCTTCTTGTCTGATATGCATGTAATATTTTCCACTGGAATTCAGATTTTGACCTTGCCAAATTTACCATAAAATCATAGTATTCAAGCTTTCCCCATAACCATACACTGGACAGTGTTTAAATAGTATAGGATGCATGACTGAAGCTGTATCAATGCTTTAATCTCCAAAGTAGGACTGTGACTTTGATCCTTGACCATGAACATGACCAATCATTAGATGATGTTTGATAAGATTGTTTGCAAGATTGAACCTCTATTGTCTACAATTTCTGGCTATAACATTTCATTTTAACCTTGCAATTAATAGGGATCAAGCACTTCACATGACCTAGCACTGGACAAAGCTAAATAAGCATTGGGGGCACTAGCACCTCCAAATCTGCCTTCATATATAAAAGTATTAGTTTTTAGAAATATATATTTAAAGCCTATACCCACAGTGACAGCCATTAAACACTGTATAAAAACAATAGTTGTGAGAGTTCACAGGTAGAGGCAAATGTAAGAGTGACAAGGTTATCTCAAAGAACACAAGTTCACAGGTAGAGGCAAATGTGAGAGTGACAAGGTTATGTGGACGAACACGAGTTCACAGGTAGAGGCAAATGTGAGAGTGACAAGGTTATGTGGATGAACAAGAGTTCACAGTTGGAGGCAAATGTGAGAGTGACAAGGTTATGTGGATGAACATGAGTTCACAGGTAGAGGCAAATGTGAGAGTGACAAGGTTATGTGGATGAACAAGAGTTCACAGGTAGAGGCAAATGTGAGAGTGACAAGGTTATGTGGATGAACATGAGTTCACAGGTGGAGGCAAATGTGAGAGTGACAAGGTTATGTGGATGAACACGAGTTCACAGTTGGAGGCAAATGTTAGAGTGACAAGGTTATGTGTATGAACAAGAGTTCACAGGTAGAGGCAAATGTGAGAGTGACAAGGTTATGTGGATGAACATGAGTTCACAGGTAGAGGCAAATGTGAGAGTGACAAGGTTATGTGGATGAACAAGAGTTCACAGGAAGAGGCAAATGTGAGAGTGACAAGGTTATGTGTATGAACAAGAGTTCACAGGTAGAGGCAAATGTGAGAGTGACAAGGTTATGTGGACGAACAGCAGGTTACTACACATTAAAGTATGGACTTATTAATGGTGGTAAAATTCCCAGTTTATTCATAGAAGTCAATAACAAAGATTACATTACTATGACTTTTATTAAAGTACTATTGTATGATCGATGAAGAACATTATATTCCAGTAAATGAAATGTAACAAAAATGATATTAAAGCTTACAACTGAATTCTTCTAACATTTACTTATGTGGAAATAAATAAAATAAATTTTTAACATATTAGCATACGAATTGTTTTCTTATCAAAACTTTTTGTTCTGATTCTTTCGTTTTCTTTAAAGGTGTAAATAGATACAATAATTGGAAAATAACAAATATACAAAGTTCTTTTTTTTTTCAACCAGAACATGAGTTTTGGAAACATACTAGTAAAATATTTTTAGTTTCACAAACTAGTGACCTTAAAAATATTAATGTTATCTGTAAAGTACAGCAAAATCTGTTAAACATAAGGGTGATTGTTTTCTCTATAAAAAAAATTCTGTGCGAAAGAAATTTATAAATTGAACTTTTTGTGATGTAAATGTTTTCTAAAGCTTCCACAATCTAACTTTTATCTAGAAATTGCTTTTTTCCATAATCTGTTCTTATTTCATCAATGATCCTACGTTCAGAATGATGTTGTACAACACGACCACAGTGGTCTTAAGTTTGAGACCCATTTTTAAGTAGCCCTGTTGACGGGGAAACTGTTAGCAACAATGGACTTACAACAAAGATGGAGTCCTGATTCTATAGAAATTACTGTAATGGCATGAGTCGGTGGTACATTAATGAACTCAACAGATTTTCTTCAATAAAATGATGTACAAAATTATAAAAAAGAATTTGGCAAGTTTTGTTTCCTTGTTTGTGAAGTAATTATTTTAAAATGAATCTAATACAAGAATATCACAAAATTAATGATGAAAACAAAATGATTAAAATACTTTTGTTTATGTCAATAATGAAATGTTTCTGGCCCACGTTCACAATAAAAAACAGTAGCGATTTAGTACAACTATTATAATGGACTAGAATCTTCATCACATTATAATGAGTATCAGCATTTAATAGAAACCACACAACTTTAAAAGCTGAACAATCTATTATTTTTTTTGTGCAAATGGTGATTGGATAATATTCATAATAGGAAATGTTTTGTTTAATGATCTGGAAACAATTTTGACATGTAAAATGAATGACATTTCAGTTGCAGGTTAGGGGTGCCTTATGTTACTCAAATTGATAACAAGATAAACTGATGTGTTCAGGCTCATAACAGAATTTTCTCATACAATTTTTATGTATGTATCTAGTAGTCCATATTTCTATTAGATTGGTTCACCTTCCTAAATACTTCATTGAAGAAATTATTATTTTATGCAAATTTCTATTAAATGCTGAACTCACCGTAAAGTACACAAATTGTATATATACATTAAGCTTTTGTACAATAGCAAATACTTGCTTATGAAATATACAACTTCTATTGAAGTATGAAAAAATGTCTCCTTAGATCAAAGTAAACAGAAAAAACACAAATTTTTATTCAAGAGATTCTCCAATAATTTACATAAAATTGAATTCAAAGAGAAAGCGCTTTAATTTTCATAAAAGGCTATGATAAAATATGATTGTTTTTTATAATAAATCTAGATAGTCAATAACAATATAGAATCCTGGAAGATTGACTCTAATTAAATATACAGAAAGTTCTTCAATCTACTTACAACAACTTAGATTGAACAAACTGTAGGAAGCTTAATAACAATCATTTTATGGATTGCAATGATCAAATTGAAAGATGAAGACAATACAATGTGTTAACTTTAGAGAACACACAATGTGTAAACTTTAGAGTGTTAACTTTAAAGAACACACAATGTGTAAACTTTAGACAACACACAATGTGTTATCTTTAGAGATCACACAATGTTTAAACTTTAGAAAACACAATGTGTTAACTTTAGAGAACACACAATGTATTAACATTAGAAAACACAATGTGCAAACTTTAGAGAACACACAATCTGTAAACTTTAGAGAACACACAATGTGTTAACTTTAGAGAACACATAAATTTGAATGAGGACAGAATGATATTGCATTGTGACATTAATATATATAACATCTCACAACATTGTAGCATTATATAGATAATTCCATATATCTGATCAGTTATCTCCCTTTTAAACCATCTCTACTCGTTTCTCCCTTTTAAACCATCTCTACTCTTTTCTCCCTTTTAAACCATCTCTATCCTTTTCTTCCTTTCAACAGCCATAATCAACTCACATTTTGTAAATTACCTTCATCATAAATTAAGTTGAACTAGATAAAAAATGAAAACATTTCAAACAATATTCAACACTTCATTAGACCCCCATTAATAAAAATATAAAAAATTGGCCAATATAATGTTGCCTTTTTCCTTCCCATCTTCCTTAAATAAATGGTTCCTCAAAATAATTTTGCTTTGATTTCATTTGTACCACTTAACAAAAAATACATGAAATCTTTAGTTTTCTCAAAAAGGACTGATAGCAATTTGAAGTGAAGCCCTTCAGAAATCTTTGATATTATCCATAGACAATAATTTCCAATGAGTGTGCAAAATGATTTGATAATTCCCCGCATTTTCAACCTTAATTCACTGAACTGTCTGCACATCTTCTGAACATGTAAATTCAGCCATCCACTGACCACCTACTGGCCACAGCCGTCCCAACTATGTGATTTGTCACACATAGTAAATGGTAACATCTATAAATAGAGTGTACTTTTGAAGTACAAGTAATAATGTACAAAATAACACTTACACACAGGTTCAATGAAAAATTCTCAAAAAAAAAAAATACTTTGAATAGTTCAATGGTTTTGAGATATAGAGAAAATAACTCTGCAGGTTAAGATGTAGGACCATGTAATAAGCTTGGAATGTTTTATCAAACACATTATCCAATCTTTTTCTTCATGGTGGAAATTACATTCAAATAAAGTAATTTTTTCTGGTTTCTAACAAAGAAGTTGTTACAATCTAATTTCAAAAAAAGAATTATCAAATCTTAAGAAGTTAAGTTTCAAACATTTTTTTTCAGAGTTTTCCAATGAACTTTTTTATCACAACACTGCACGAGCACCTCCAACATAATCATAGTAATAATAAAATGTTAACAACACAATCACATGATGTAAATAATGCCGTCCCTCAAATCTGGGCGGAGTTATTGTTCTTTGGCAGCACAAATAGGTCGTCACACTGTCCAAATGATCTGTTTCCTCTCGTTAATTATGCATCATATCATAGTGGATTTCACTGTTAAAGCATTCATCTGACCTTGATTTCACAAACATTTATACAACCAAGATTCTCACACTAATATATATGTATGAAGCACTTTTTCATGTTAGTACATATTTACAATAAAACTGTATTGCACTTTCCTCCTTAAAATGAATAAGTAGAAGATTTTCCTGTGTAAAAACTGAATTTTGTTTCCACATTTGAACATGTTGTCTTTTGACCAGGAATAATAGCTCTGAAGCAAACAAAATTCAACCTGTACAAAATTTTGGGCAAATTATCCTCACAAACATGCTAGAACGGAAACTCATTAACAATCTACAAGCGTAACAAATGTATGTTAAATAAATAAGTGTTTAACATGTTCTACTGAGGTCCAGGATTGCCCATTGTTTATTTGGGTCCCACTAATGTTTCTGTTGTGTTTCTCCATCGCTGGTCAAAACTATGTTGCATAATGATCAAATGATCCTAAATATTCTAATGCAGCTCTGTAACAGAACTGGTATTGGTCCTGAAATATAACAAATAATCAGTTAATACAAAAAAAGATAGGTGTAAGTATCATTGAGACTGCAATACAAAAGTACGTCAAGTTAACTCACAAAGAAGAAATCAAATCGTTTACTTTTAGAAATTAATATTTTCAGCAATGAACTAAAAGGTCTCTATGGCTAATATCCTTACTTTGCAATTATAATTTACAATACTGAAAACATAGTAACAGTATTCATAATATTTTAAGTACTCATGATATTTTCAATACGTTTACAAAATTTCAAAAATTTCTAGGTAAGACCTTTAATATGATAAAATATGAATTATCTAACAACTCCTTCAATTGTTCTTTCTACACAGCACTAAGAAAGCAGAATATATATACCGGTATATATATTTTTTTAAATATGGTATTAATATTCCTATCAATACAACAATTTTTGTTTGTAAAGTTTTCCAATATATACCTCAGTTTGTACCATGGCAGGTCTCTGCGTCCTTAACATTTTAACGGTTTGGAACATATCAACAACACCCTCATATCTCATTCTCTCTAACACAATGCTGAGGGTTATAAATACACCTGTTCGTCCAACTCCAGCACTGAAAGGAAAGAAAAGTTAACTTGTTAGTCATCTCTTTAATCATCCTGAACATGATGAAATATTTGCCATTGGGCATTAAGCAATCAACAATCAATCAATCATTATTTCTTTTTAAGACATATATACTAAATGTTTGCATTAAATCATCTTGAATTAAAATAGATGTGGGAATATTGAGGAAGTTTTCTCTTTTGGAGATCGGTCATTTATGGTTGTATGTCCTTTTGACCAATTCAAAATTATTCAATTATGTCAAGTGTTTTTTGGAATCCATTTTAAAAGAATAACCCTTAAAACTTCCCTCATTCCAGGCTCTTTACTTTCAGAATGTTTTATATTTCACATATATATATATACAGTTGATTTTCTTTTTAAAATACCTATTATCTAATGTTAAGTGTGTGTCCCAATGATATATTAACATTATATTTGCTCCTGATTTCTCAAAAATCCCATTATTTCAAATTTTTTTTTTAGTCTAATCAACATAAGAGATAATGAGAGTCAACTATAAATAGATTCTATATTTAAATGGCAAATAAAAACAAAACAAAGATAGTAAACTGTCCCCAGTCAGGAGCCTGTAGTTCAGTGGTTGTCGTTAGTTCATGTCTGTCAAATTTGTTTTTTCTAAAATTGTTTTGTTATGAATTAGGCTGTTAGTTTTCTCAATTGAATTGTTTAACATTTCATGTCTGGGCCTTTCATAGCAGACTATTTGGTATGGGATTTTCTCATTGTTGAAGGCTATACAGTTGTCTATAATTGCTTATATCCACTTCATTTGAAAGCTGGTGGATATTTGTGTCTTTGGCAATCATACCCTTATTTTTATATTTTTTCCTAGTATTAATTCACAGATCCATCATGATGATTTCAATGGAATTTTTTCAAGTAAAATTTGGAATGATTGATGGCTGTTAACTTAAAAGAACTACAGTTTCTGATGATTGAGAAGTCTTTCCATAGAACATTTTAACATTTGCTCCATTGGCATCTTCTCCCCCCCCCCCCCCCCCCCCCATTGAAAAGAAATCAAATCTCTCACACATCAATATCCATTAGTTCATTAGTTACTTACCTGCAGTGAACACAAATGGGTCCCTCCTGACCAAACTGTTCTTTTGTTTTATGAACTTGTCCTATGAAATCTATGAATCCCTCTCCTGATTTGGGTACGCCTTGTTCTGGCCAATCAGTGAACTGGAACTGTCTGATTGTACGGGACTGACCATCCTGTTAATAAATGTGTGTGAGTTTGGGTAAAACATCTCTAAACAAAATCAGTACAAGAGAACATAGATCACCTAAACTAATTCAGCCTTTTTTTTATTATCATATTGCAGGTTTACAGGAAAAAAATAACAAAATATTATCGTGGTTTATTCAATTTTCCACTACAAAAAGTTTTTTTTTTTTTTTTTTTTCAAAAAATCAGTGATTTTTATTGTGTATGGGAAAATACTCTTTTTATACATTACATACTATTTGTCTTGCAATGTTGGTTTTTTTTAATATTTCATAAATAGCAAAGGGAAAATCTGATTTGATTCTGCATCAACCAACATGGTTCGAATCATTTTTGTTTATAAAATATCCTGTTGCTTTCTTGACTATTGCTAGTGAATAGTTAATATTTTACACTTTGGACTTACAACACCCCTATTGGAATAAATCATTTACCCTGGCATCTGTGACTTTAAATTCTCGTAACATATATGATGGCATATCATATTCTGCCATTGGATCTACAACAAAATATTGGTATCTCGCTGATCGTTCACTTGGCCAATACTGATGACATTTCTCCTGAAATAAAACAAATGAACATCTAAATCATTTTGAAAACGTTTATAGAAGGAACACAATTTCCATCAACTTATTAGTGCAATTAATATTCTGTATAGAGGACAATATTTATCCTTTTCATGTATTATTTTTTTAACTCCTTTTTTCTAGGAATTTCTATATGGATTAAGTGTTATTTGGCTAAACATTAAAGTTTCGCTAAAGATCATTTTTACTTTAATAAGATCTTTTTGAAAAAAAATCCTATAAAGGGACTTCACCAAATGTTATGTATATTTGTTAAAATATCATTTAGTGTGAGGTAACTGTAATTGAATTTGGCAACTTTTGGCAACTTTTTTTGTAGAAAAAAAGTCCTGAGATGTGAGTTTAAGAAAACAAACTGTAAAGTAAATTCTTTTCTTCATAGACAACAGCAATCAGGTGACGACGTTTTGGTTAAGAAACTTTAAATTTGATGTTTTTTTAAAGACAAAAGCATTTTTCCTTTCTTAATTGATATTATTTATCAAATAATTAATCTTGAACTTACTCTGCCCATTTCTCTGAGCTTAGTGAGCATGACTATGATTGTAGAATTATGTTCCCATAACATTCTCCAGAAATCTTCTGCCGTCTCTGCCAATGGTCCTTGTGTAGCTACGTAGGCTTGTCTGTATCTATAACCCTGTAATCAATAAAGGTCCAAATGTCTTTATTTATTCATTATATTATAACAGTAAAAATTTCTCTGCACAACTTTAAAGTCAAACATTAATTAGCTTGTATATTTAAGTTACTTCTATCAAAACTTGCAATTACCAACATATATTGATTGTTGCTTGGTTAATGTCCATAGGCAATTATTTCATACATATTCAGGACAAATCGATAACCAAGCATCTAATATAAAACTTTTGATACAGCAATGACTGTATTGTCTGATTGATATGCCTCATGTTTCAGTGGCACATATTACATATATATACAGAATTATAACATGTTAATGAGATATGAATATACCCTGCATTGTAGTAAGACATGGTAAGGCAAATTTTTAATGTACTAGGTCAAAGGGTAGCAGGCTGCAGGAAGACATGTCAATCTATGGACCTCTTACACGTATAGTCAAGGATGCAGGAAGACATGTCAATCTATGGACCTCTTACACATAAAGTCAAGGCTGCAGGAAGACATGTCAATCTAGGAACCTCTTACACATATAGTCAAGGCTGCAGGAAGACATGTCAATCTATGGACCTCTTACACATATAGTCAAGGCTGCAGAAAGACATATCAATCTATGGACCTCTTACACATATAGTCAACGCTGCAGGAAGACATGTCAATCTATGGACATCATACACATAAAGTCAAGGATGCAGGAAGACATGTCAATCTGTGGACCTCTTACACATATAGTCAATGCTGCAGGAATACATGTCAATCTGTGGACCTCTTACACATATAGTCAAGGCTGCAGGAAGACATGTCAATCTGTTGACCTCTTACACATATAGTCAATATATGATACTTGTCACAAGTAAGTTATTTAAGGCAGATTTTACTTTGCTTCAAAATTTTGATTTGTCGGGACCTTTTAAAGCTGACAATGCAGTACAAGTTTTGCTCAGTGTTGAAGGCTGTATCTTGACCTGTCGTTGCTTAAATCAACTTCATTTGGACTCTGGTGAATAGTTGCTTATCGACAATCATATCACATCTCCTTATTTGATAAAGTCTACTTACATCTATAAAGCTTGCATTGATATAATCTGATCCATCCACTCCTCTGATGGGATGTAACGATACTCTGGTGGATTCATCTGCAAAAAAAACCACATTCTTCAGCTCATCTTGTTATTAGTTTTATAAACAAAAAGCAAGAAATTCCCCTGCCAAACATTTTAATATGTTCGATAATCCTCCGAACAGAACTGTCTTGTTCTTGTCAATAACAGAAATAATAACTTTATTCTTATATATTATAATAAAATAAATTATCCACAATTTTGCCATTATTTTTTTTTTCTTATCAAGGTAACTTAGGTGCAGGCAAGTGGATAGTACTATTTTAGACTATAATGACAAGAGTTGTTCATCATTTAAACATTATAAAATTCTTGACATTAAGTGAATTTCACACATACATAAAACTCACAAAATATACATTTCTCACTATGATTTATTGACAACCTTTTACAAGGCAGTATAATAACCAATCTGTTGGGCCAAGGGAGATAATCCAATAAAATATAAATTGTATTGACTTACATGGCAGTATATTAACCAATCTGTTGGGCCAAGGGAGATAATCCAATAAAATATAAATTGTATTGACTTACATGGCAGTATATTAACCAATCTGTTCTTGAATTTGTTAACAGGAAGATTGGCACTTATAAATCGATTAGGACTGGCTTTCATATTGGCTAATCTCTGTAAGATAAAATTTAATACTTAATGAACATTTAAAAGAAATAAAGGCATTAAATTTATGACTTAGCAAACTAAGTGTTAATCTATCATTACCAATTTTGGGGCAATTTTTTCACTTTTTTAAAACATGATTCAGAGATATCTACTTCATCAAAATTCATTTCTGTCAAACAAATATTTTTTAATATGATAACATATTCAGTTTTACAAGAAAATCTTTAATTTTTATGGTACTTCAGTTACATGAAAATAAATAGCTTTTTCTAAACAGATTTGAAATCCCATTGGAACTTTCAAAATTCCAAATAGTTTCCCCTGGAATAATTCTATGACATGACTACAGTCTTATTAAATTTTAAATTCATCCCTGTCAAAGTCTTACCTTCAATTTTAATTCCATTCCCGAAGAAGTCTTACCTTAAATTTTAATTCCTTCCCTGAAGAAGTCTTACCTTAAATTCTAATTCCATCCCCGAAGAAGTTTTACCTTAAATTCTAATTCCATCCCGTAGATGTCTTACCTTAAATTCTAATTCCATCCCCGCAGAAGTCTTATCTTAAATTCTAATTCCATCCACGAAGAAGTCTTACCTTAAATTCTAATTCCATCCCCGTAGATGTCTTACCTTAAATTCTAATTCCATCCCGTAGATGTCTTACCTTAAATTCTAATTCCATCCCCGAAAAAGTCTTACCTTAAATTCTAATTCCATCCCCATAGAAGTCTTACCTTAAATTCTAATTCCATCCCGTAGATGTCTTACCTTAAATTCTAATTCCATCCCCGTGGATGTCTTACCTTAAATTCTAATTCCATCCCCGTAGATGTCTTACCTTAAATTCTAATTCCATCCCCGTAGAAGTCTTACCTTAAATTCTAATTCCATCCCCGTAGAAGTCTTACTTTAAATTCTAATTCCATCCCCGTAGAAGTCTTACCTTAAATTCTAATTCCATCCCTGTAGAAGTTTCGCCTGGTTCTGGTTGTAATAATTTCTGTATATGCGCCGATAAATTACGTGCTGGGATTTCTGTATTTCCACAGGTAACGGCTTCCAATAAAGCATCGTGGATGAATATATACTGGTCCTCTGTTTGTACCATGTAATTACGCTGTGCTCTTAGACAAGTCACATGACCATAAATATCAACAGTCTTTTCGTGTTTTACACGTTCCAACATGGCATCTATTACTATGAATGCTCCAGTCCTGCCAACTCCAGCACTACAATTTATTCAAAAAAGCATTGAAACTTAATTCAAATAGAAAATATGATTTTTAATCAACTGTGCATTAAATTTCAGCAAACGTTACTCACTTACAGTGGTTTCATTATTATTCGTTGGATACCAATTTTTGTGGATTTTATGGATAGAGGTGAACCACGAATTCAATTGTTCAAAGAAATACAAATTTTCTATACACTTGTATACATTTTATAAATACAGTATCAACATTATACCAACTTATACTTCTTACTGCAATTTCCATTTCAAAACCTATTTCTAGTTTTCTAGTTTTGGTGAGTCTTGTCCAACTGTTGTACAAAAAATGAAATAATATAAAATAAGACTTGAGTGAAAAGATCCAATAAACTGTTAACACAGAGAGAGAGATACATTTCATCTGTGTAACCTTATCACAAAATTGTTGACATTGCAGAAGCTGGAAACAGCATGAATTAAGTCTTGTTTCTATGACAGGCCAGACAAAGAGAATTTTACCTGCAATGTACAATCATAGGTCCAGCATCAGGTGGATTACAGGCTTTCACACGTTTCATAAACATCAACAAAGGTGTAGGGTGATCTGGAACACCGTGGTCAGGCCAAGCTGTGAACTGGAATTGTCTCACTTCACGTTTCTCTGGATAACCATACTATAAACAGAAACAGTCACCCAGTTTAATACACATTTTATTACAAGATATTGATTAGAATTTCATCTGAGAAGCAGGTGCATACATTTAATATGGTAAATGAAATGCATAAATGTATTGATCCAAATTTGGCTATATTGATAAATTGTGTGATTTACGAAAACATTTCTTAATAGTTCTTTAAATAAAACAAGAAATCATACTAGATAGACTCTTTTGGATTTTTTCTTTTCAGATTTCTTTAAAAAAAAAAGATTTAACACTAATCTTATAAAGAAAATTCCTCTGACAGTATACAATCTCAAAATTTAAAACATATTTAATCTCATTTAATCTCTTTAGGATCTTATATAGTCAAGCAATATTGATTCCATACAGTATATTGCATCCACAAACTGAGTGTGTTAACCTAAGATTACTCACCCTAGAAACATGGAAAGTTCTGATGGTATAAGTTGACAGTTCTGTAACATCCACTAATAAGACCTGCATGATGCCATATGTTTCTCCACCTCTATGGGGCCAATACTGATCACATTTTATCTGTAAATAATATATCAATTAATATAAAACATTTCAACACTACAAGGGTTATTGCTCAGAAATCAAGTTAATTGGTCATCTATTATTATTAACCATTAAATCTTTACCACAGTTTTTCGCCATTTGGATGGTAACAGTTTCATAATAGTTAGACAATGCTTTTCTTGAACCAAAAAACAAATCAGGCAAATTACTTATATAAAAACAAATAAGATATATCATCAATGTAGCAGAAAATCATTTCCCTTGAGAAATTTTCATTGTCATAATAAATATTTGCATGATCAATTTTTCATATAATGTTAACTTACCCTTGACCTTTCTTCTAATTTGGTCATCATGACAATGGTGTTTGACCTTTGTTCCCAAACCCCTCTCCAGAAATCTCCAAATGTTTCAGGCAATGGACCCTGTGTAGCAATATAGGCATTCTGTTTACGATATCCATCCATGTAATTAGCATTGATGTAATCACTGCCTGGTATACCATCAATCGGTTGTAAAATCACTCTTGAATGGTCATATGCTATCACATTTGCGTATCTATTTTTAGGCTTGTTGATTTCATAGTTAGAATTGTCCCATGTGAACTGCTGACCTGGTTCAATAGATTCATACTCCTGAGAGAATCTCATATTGTCACTGGCCTTTAAGTTGTCAATGTGGTCAGCTAACATATGTACAGGTATAGGGGGATGGCTGATCATACCTATCAATAAACACATATTTAATCATTCAATATTTACAGTTCAATTCAAACAGATACTGATCTTTTATTGGCTGCAAGAAGAATCACCTGATTGTGTTACATGTTTTTAATCTATGTACAAACCACCCAAGACTAGAATTATTAACCCTGCCCAGCAGAACTTACAGTGTGTTCAATGTTACTTTCCAAAACTGAAAGGAATGAAATAAGTGACTTTGTAATAAAATTTAATCTTTTTATTACTTATCTAACTTGCCTTGAAATTGACATCTACATGTATGCAAATGTCACCTTTAGAAACACTGTTTTCAAACAAGTTCTCAAGTTCTGTGTTTATAGGTCAAGATCCAATGTTAATAACATATTTATTATCTTATTTAGAAGATCAATAAAGATAAGAATATCGAATGCTGTTTAGTTTCTAAATTTTCAAAATGAAAGAAGTAACTTGTCACATTTTTAGCCTAAGCACTTAGAACAGTGATAACTTCTATGGCATTTGGTTTCTGGTTGAGAGTTGTCTCATTGGCAATCATACCACATCTTCTTATTTTTTTATTCATTCAAAATGTTGTTCATCACTTACTTCAATTTTGAATAAATTGAAAAAAAACCAACATTCAGTTATATAATGAATCTAAACAAGCATTCTGAGAGTATTGCATGGCAATACATAGTCCCCTACCAGGTAAAAATTCATTATACTGGAACAAAATGCTAACTTGTTCTATAACTTGTCATGGTGTAAACAAAAAGTAAATATCATGTCAATATCTTCAAGCATGACTAAAAACAGTGTTGAAAACTGATTATATGAGTGAATTTTTCAAGTCCAAGGACCATAACTGGTCATAACTCTGCACAAAATTATTAGACAGAAACAAAAATTTGAACTTGATCTGTAACTTGTCATGATAAAACTATATACCAATTATCAATCAATATCTTATAAGCATGATGAAAAAACATTAGATATGATTAATAGTTCTCTAGAATTAGATATGATGTAATACAGTGTATATCTATTTCAAATTATAATCAGATATAATTAATAGTTCCAAATATTTTTTTCTTTCATTTGTCACAAACTAATATAGATTTGTAACTTATCTATAAAATGTCAACAACTTTTATCTACACAATGTAATGTATTGAAATATATACATTAATAAAAATAGATTATTATCTAATTAAAGGATTTCTCTTCATAATTTTTTTTGATATATATAGCATTCAGAAAATTAGTTTGTACTAAATAACAAACAAACCTGTCAAAAAATTCTTCAAATAATTTAACAAAGAATGTCTTTTAAAAAATGAATTATCTCCCTTTGTACAGAGATATGGTTTAACATAGTACTCTAACATTAGATATGGTCCATAACTCTGGACTAAATCATCAGACCGGAACAAAATTCAAACTTGATCTATAACTTGTCATGTTAAAACTATATGCCAAATATCACATCAATATCTTCAAGAACGAAGAAAAAAAGTGTGGAAAGCTGATTTGCCGGACTGACGGATGGACAGACGGACGGAGTGCAAACCTAAAGTCCCCTTCGACTTCGTCGGTAGGGGACTAATTAGAACTATGAGTTAACTCACAATAGGATATCCTCTGCCCAGCTATACTTTTAATATATTGAAGTAAGAAAAATGATCTCCCCTATAACATGTTGGACATGGATTATATCATTTTATGCACACACATCCTGAGATAGAATTTAACAATTGTGTAAAGTTTTATTCATATGTGTATAATACCTGGAGTTTGGTAATGTTGGCGTCGTAATTCTACTGGATCGCTAGGATGAGGGGGTACGTCTACAAACACTTTACCAAGAAGAGGCTCTGGGGTTTTACTCTTACGATGAGATTTACGTCTGAAATATATACATGATAATGTTCAAATGATTCAGTTACCCTACATGACACTCCAAAAAATATACCCTTACTTATATTAGTTTCTAAAAAATGCTACATATTTATAACTACTCTAGAAATTTATGAATTACTACTATTTTATTACTATTATTACTTTTTCTACTACTTTATAAAGTGATGCTGCAAAAATTGCAAGTTCAACGTTTTTGCCATTAAACAATCTTTTTAAAATTCTCTTAAAGAAATCTGACATCAAATCAGCATAGATATATTACACAACAAAATTACAACAATAATATGACAAGCAGGGGGAAGTTCATCCATCAGAAAATAACCCTAGGATGATCAAGGCATACATACATACATAATGATCTGACTGCTTGGACAGGTGCTCCAAATTGAAATTTCAATAAATATTATCAATTATATTTTTAATTGATTACAAGAATATTCTACTGTCAAGGTATTTGATGTGGAAATTGTCTACATATTAAGCAGATGTTTTACTATACAATCTATGATGTTGTCTTAAGTTCTGGGTTTTCAGCTTACAAATTGATTACCAGTATATCAAGTCTTAATTTGCTTTCAAAATGGTCACCATCAATATTAATCATGAAAACAGTCTTTAACAGGTCTCAGTTTTTTCACTGCTACTAGCCCTAGATCTTTATAAGGCAAAATGTATGAATACATTCTAATGAATGACTATATCATTATGTTTAAAATATATGTAAACATTAATGGGTTGGTCACTAACTTTATTAGTACATGATCACCATCATACTGGTATTTAAACATTAATAAGTGTTAAAGCCTGACATGCTGATGTTTACCTCATGTACCAGACAAGGAGAATGCAGCCAATTATGATTAGAGCGACACCTGCACAGACAGGGGCCACAATCATAATTATCATCAGACTTTTGGAATTGGGGACATTTGGTGATGCTTGGTCTACGGTGTCCGTGTCTCCTGGACTAGGTGCAATAGGACGAGGTAATTGACGAATGTATGGTCCTAAAGTAATCGGTGCTGAGTAGTCACTGGTCGTGTAAAGGTCCTAAATAAAGCAAATGAATAACAAAAATATAAACATTACAACATCAAGAAATAAAGACACAAATATACAAAATAACAATAAAAGCAGCAGAGTTTGCGTGACAATGGTTAAGGTACCTTATCCAAACTATACCACCCCCAACGAACAGGGCTACACAAGCACAAATAGGGGCCACGATTAAGAGTATTGTAAAGTCGGGCTGTTCACTTCCGTAAGGTTCCATTTTGCCTATGAAGTCTGCTGAAAAGTCGCTGCTTTTGTAAAGACCCTAAATATGCAAATAAAAATGAAAAACAACATCAATGAAAGAAAAAATGATAAATAATAAGGTCAAACAACAATGGCTATTTAGAAGGAACAACGACGATGAAAGGTTGTTATACCTAAAATACACGAAAACTATACAACCCACGATTAGCAGGGCTACACCGGCACACACAGGTGCTACGATTAATATCATAGTATAATTAGGATCTGTTCTGTCTGGCTCTGGTTCCTGGTCCTGGTTAGTGTTTTTGACTACAGAAGGTACTTGTGGATTTTTTGATAAGTTTGGATTATATTGGTAAGGTGGTTTGGATCCAGAGTATGTAACTGGTTTAGATAATTCACTAGACTTGTACAGTCCCTGTATAAAGATAAATCATAATAATTTCTTCCTTACCTGATGCATATTGTTTTTAACTACACTAGTTTTTATCTGACTTGTCTATAGATTAGTTAATTCTAATTTTAATTTCTTGTTGGGCAGCCTTTACAACCAAAGCCACCCATCTATTAACCAATTTCTTGTAATAGGTCTGTTAATTTCAACTTCAACTAGAGCTACCGAAATCAGTTGTGTATAACTCACAATTGAAAAATGTTTGATATTGAAATCAGTATTGCTCAGGAGAGACAGCCAGATTCAGGTGATTTTCCTTTGAATTTACCTGTGTTACACCTTAGCATTTTTGGTTTCCTCACCTGACATTTTTTACAACAGCTTTTGAAAAGACTAAATAGAGTTGACCTTTTATAAGATATTTGGTTCACATATGTATGGTTGCTTTTGTGAAGAGCTGTATTTACATAGGTATGGTGTCAGCTATGAATAGGTGTATTTACATATGTATAATTTTAGTTGTGTAGATTTACATATGTATGGTATCAGTTGTGAAGTGTATTTACATATGTAAGGTTTTAGTTGTTATAATGTACTGTTTATACATATGTAAAGTTTAAGTTATAATGTACAGTTTCTACATATGTAAGGTTTAAGTTGTAATGTACTGTTTATACATATGTAAGGTTTAAGTTATAATGTATTGTTTCTACATAGGTAAGGTTTAAGTTGTAATGTACTGTTTATACATATGTAAGGTTTAAGTTGTAATGTACAGTATATACATATGTAAGGTTTAAGTTTTAATGTACTGTTTATACATATGTAAGGTTTAAGTTATAATGTACAGTTTATACATATGTAAGGTTTAAGTTGTAATGTACAGTTTATACATATGTAAGGTTTAAATTGTATGTACAGTTTATACATATGTAAGGTTTAAGTTTTAATGTACTGTTTATACATATGTAAGGTTTAAGTTATAATGTACAGTTTCTACATATGTAAGGTTTAAGTTGTAATGTACAGTTTATACATATGTAAGGTTTAAGTTGTATGTACAGTTTATACATATGTAAGGTTTAAGTTATAATGTACTATTTATACATTTGTAAAGTTTAAGTTATAATGTACTGTTTATACATATGTAAGGTTTAAGTTGTAATGTACTGTTTATACATATGTAAGGTTTAAGTTATAATGTACAATTTATACATATGTAAGGTTTAAGTTGTAATGTACTGTTTATACATATGTAAGTTAAGTTATAATGTACTGTTTATACATATGTAAGATTTAAGTTGTATTTTTTTTAAATATGTATGGTGTCAATTGTAAAGTGCTGAAATTATAACAATAGTAGTTGTAAAAGTTATAGTTCGAGTTACTCTGTACATATGTACCTAGATTATACTCCTACATATGTAACTTAAAGTAATTGCTATGAATATGTTACATCTGTTGTGAAAAATTTCAATCATATCTAATGTTCAGTCAATTCAGAAGATGACCCTTGGATATGGCTTAGATTAAAACAGTGTTCACATAGGTATCTAAATAGAACACAAATGTAGTCTTCAGGTTAACTAAGAAGTGTACCTGAACAAAATGGGTCACAATTCAAGTTGATTCAGAAGTGTACCTGAATATATATAATTTTTCACAATTCACGATAACTCTGAAGTGTTCTTAAACATAATCTGCGACAATCTCAAAACTTCATATGAAAGTTCAGTGTATACATTTAAATATGTTAAGTGTAAATATGTGTAGAGATTACCCCATCATAGAAGACTGTTTACCTGTTCAGTTTATACATTTAATTTATGTTAAGTGTAAATATATGTAGAGATTACCCCATCATAGAAGACTATTTACCTGTTCAGTGTATACATTTAAATATGTTATGTGTAAATATATGTAGAGATTACCCCATCATAGAAGACTGTTTACCTGTTCAATGTATACATTTAATTTATGTTAAGTGTAAATATGTGTAGAGATTACCCCATCATAGAAGACTATTTACCTGTTCAATGTATACATTTAATTTATGTTAAGTGTAAATATATGTAGAGATTACCCCATCATAGAAGACTGTTTACCTGTTCAATGTATACATTTAATTTATGTTAAGTGTAAATATGTGTAGAGATTACCCCATCATAGAAGACTATTTACCTGTTCAATGTATACATTTAAATATGTTAAGTGTAAATATATGTAGAGATTACCCCATCATAGAAGACTGTTTAACTGTTCAATGTATACATTTAATTTATGTTAAGTGTAAATATTTGTAGAGATTACCCCATCATAGAAGACTGTTTACCTGTTCAATGTATACATTTAATTTATGTTAAGTGTAAATATGTGTAGAGATTACCCCATCATAGAAGACTGTTTACCTGTTCAGTGTATACATTTAAATATGTTAAGTGTAAATATATGTAGAGATTACCCCATCATAGAAGACTGTTTACCTGTTCAGTGTATACATTTAAATATGTTAAGTGTAAATATATGTAGAGATTACCCCATCGTAGAAGACTGTTTACCTGTTCAATGTATACATTTAAATATGTTAAGTGTAAATATAGGTAGAGATTACCCCATCATAGAAGACTGTTTACCTGTTCAGTGTATACATTTAAATATGTTAAGTGTAAATATATGTAGAGATTACCCCATCGTAGAAGACTGTTTACCTGTTCAGTGTATACATTTAAATATGTTAAGTGTAAATATATGTAGAGATTACCCCATCGTAGAAGACTGTTTACCAGTTCAGTGTATACATTTAAATATGTTAAGTGTAAATATGTGTAGAGATTACCCCATCATAGAAGACTATTTACCTGTTCAATGTTTACATTTAAATATGTTAAGTGTAAATATGTGTAGAGATTACCCCATCATAGAAGACTACTTACCTGTTCAATGTATACATTTAATTTATGTTAAGTGTAAATATATGTAGAGATTACCCCATCATAGAAGACTGTTTACCTGTTCAATGTATACATTTAAATATGTTAAGTGTAAATATAGGTAGAGATTACCCCATCATAGAAGACTGTTTACCTGTTCAATGTATACATTTAATTTATGTTAAGTGTAAATATAGGTAGAGATTACCCCATCATAGAAGACTGTTTACCTGTTCAATGTATACATTTAATTTATGTTAAGTGTAAATATGTGTAGAGATTACCCCATCATAGAAGACTGTTTACCTGTTCAATGTATACATTTAATTTATGTTAAGTGTAAATATATGTAGAGATTACCCCATCATAGAAGACTGTTTACCTGTTCAATGTATACATTTAATTTATGTTAAGTGTAAATATGTGTAGAGATTACCCCATCATAGAAGACTGTTTACCTGTTCAATGTATACATTTAATTTATGTCAAGTGTAAATATGTGTAGAGATTACCCCATCATAGAAGACTGTTTACCTGTTCAGTGTATACATTTAAATATGTTTAGTGTAAATATATGTAGAGATTACCCCATCATAGAAGACTGTTTACCTGTTCAATGTATACATTTAAATATGTTAAGTGTAAATATAAGTAGAGATTACCCCATCATAGAAGACTGTTTACCTGTTCAATGTATACATTTAATTTATGTTAAGTGTAAATATATGTAGAGATTACCCCATCATAGAAGACTGTTTACCTGTTCAATGTATACATTTAAATATGTTAAGTGTAAATATAGGTAGAGATTACCCCATCATAGAAGACTGTTTACCTGTTCAATGTATACATTTAATTTATGTTAAGTGTAAATATGTGTAGAGATTACCCCATCATAGAAGACTGTTTACCTGTTCAATGTATACATTTAATTTATGTTAAGTGTAAATATGTGTAGAGATTACCCCATCATAGAAGACTATTTACCTGTTCAATGTATACATTTAATTTATGTTAAGTGTAAATATATGTAGAGATTACCCCATCATAGAAGACTGTTTACCTGTTCAATGTATACATTTAATTTATGTTAAGTGTAAATATGTGTAGAGATTACCCCATCACAGAAGACTGTTTACCTGTTCAATGTATACATTTAATTTATGTCAAGTGTAAATATGTGTAGAGATTACCCCATTAAGAAGACTATTTACCTGTTCAATGTATACATTTAATTTATGTTAAGTGTAAATATATGTAGAGATTACCCCATCATAGAAGACTGTTTACCTGTTCTACGGTATGTGCCCTAAGGAACACTCTATATCTCCAGTCTTTGTTCAGGGGTCGGTTGATAAATCCTTCATACTCATCACCGTCTCCTAATGTAAATAGTGATGGCAGTCTGTTGGCGGAGAACTTGGCCGCTATGTAAGGTTTACTGGCAGAGAAAGATGGAGGTAGTGGGTCATCAAAAAGCTTAAAATAAATCATAAAAAGATCAATATTATATAGGTCAAAGGTAATCGAATCATAATAATAACAAATTCCTGTAACATTGATTTTTTAAACATTTATTATGGTTGCATCCACTTCATTTGGCCTCTGGAGGATAGTGGTCTCATTGGTAATCCTACCACATCTCCTTATTTTTATATTATCTATGTCCAAATCAGATTTTTTTTTTTTTTTTTTCAGAAACTAATTGGAGTGTTAACACATATATCAAACTACTATCGAAGTTAAAAAATACTGTAGCAAAAAATTGACCAAGTCACCAAACATATTTTCATATCTATACTTTACCAGCTGGTGAGCCACAAAAATTTCATACATGGTCATTATGTGAATGAATATTTAGGTATTTATTAAACAGGAAGTAGATGTGGGACAGATGTGAAAACACATCATAGGTATTTAGTAAAGAGAAAGTAGATGTGGGACGGATGTGAAAACACATCATAGGTATTTAGTAAAGAGAAAGTAGATGTGGGACGGATGTGAAAACACATCATAGGTATTAAGTAAACAGGAAGTAGATGTGGGACGGATGAGAAAACACATCACTCATGCTTAACGATGCTTCATACCAAATTTTAGGAAGTTCTTATTTGTAGATTCTGTGGAAAATGCAACAACACTTTCATGTGAAAGACGGACAGAGGTAAACTTGTGTATCCCCCTCCTTTGGCAAGGGGTATAAAAAGTCTAAAATATATACAATAAGATTATGATATTTGATTATGGTAAATACCTCATCAAATTGGTAATCCTGAGGTCTTCTGAGGACTGTGCTGTTTAGTATTGGAACAACAATAAGATAGTAATGACTTATACCGCCATTCACTTCAGATGCTGCAGTTAGACTGAATTTTATATTCCCTTTCTCAATCTTTTCTATTTCTGGTCTCTTAACTTCTCTAGGTGCTGTAAAGCAAAAAGGAACCAGTTCAATATACATCTATGATGAAGAACACAAAATGTTTAAAAAAGTCAAGCTTGAATGCAAATTGACGATTTTTGTACATTGTATTATCATTGAATTAAGACATTTTTGGTTTGACATGACATCCATCTATTCTAATGTATAAATATAGAATTCTGCAAATGGAAATACTCTAAATTTAAAGAACTTTACCTTCAAGTCTGGTTTCTGCCATTAAATATTGTTCTGGTCCTCTTTTTCCATTTCTAAATAAGGAAGTTATGTTGAACTTGTATCTAGCCTTGGGTACCAGATTAGGTACCACGAATGTTGTTGACTGACCGGGTATATTGATTGGTTGAATAGGAGACAAGTTCTGTGAACTTATCTGGCCTTTTAAACGTTGAAACTTCATTCCTACAATCTCCAACTATAAAACAGATTTAAAACTGAATAAAAACGGATTTAAAAATAAATTACAGGCAAGTTTTTTTTTTTCAATTACAACTTATCAATTAAACATTATCAGGTTTTTCAATTCATCTGAATTAAGGATTATTGCAGCAAATTGAATTCTGGAAATGCACAGCCTTTTTTCATGAACCATTAAAACAATTTTAGTAACGATTCAAAATATATAGTATTTTGCCAAAAGTCCTGATTCCTATCCACACGTAAGCTGTGTCCCTGACAACTTTCCTTGAAAAGCCTTGTTCCCCAAACAATTTTTTCTGGCCTAGCCCTAAGGTAAATTTAATGAATAACTAGATAAACAGACTATGCCTAGATTACATTTTTGTTACCTAAAATATGTCTGTTATCAGAATAATACTAAAGCATTAAAGTTACCATGTACAAATGAGTTTTAACAGACAAAAATGTGTCTATTTAATAAACACTGTGATCCCAGACCCAAACTTCTGATCCTATTTACTTTATACTTTTCTGTCAATATGCACATCTACAAAGTTTCATGAATTCTGTTGTGTGGATTCAGAGGAGTTGCTATGACAAGAACAGGACTGACGGGTCAAAAACACTATACCCCACGCAACGTATAAGAAGCGTTATTTCTTAATTCCATCATTATAGTAAATAAAGAGTTTCTAAAGTTAATTTTGGATTAGACAATCATGAAGGTAGCTTTATTGGTGTCATGGAGTCAATAATTTAAAACATGTATCTACATTAATGAAGTTCTGTGATACTTACTAAGTAGTTATTGATACCGATCTGTTTAGGAGGATCCCATGCCAGGTTAATAGTGGTTGATGTTCTCAGTGTCACACGGAAATTTGTCACGATGTCATCTCTTTCAGGTCCTGCAATAGATATTAAAATCTCTTTTAATTTTTTTCTTTAATTTCTGTGTAAATTTATTTCTTTAATTTAGTCATTATTGCAAATAAGTTTGCATTTAAGAATCGATTTGTGAAAGTTCAACCCCAGTATGGTCCATTTCAAAGATCAGTCCACCTAAGAAAAATAGAATTCTTGTGTGTCACAATTTTTACCTAGATAGAATTCCCAACCCATTTCAAATGAATTAAGGTAATAAAAGAAAAATACAAAATAAGACTGATTTTCTTCAATTTCAAAACAAACTAAATCGTTTCAATTACTTTCAGCTTTCCATATAAACTACCAACTGTTTTTATTGAAGATAATTTAATGTACAACTAAGCTGGAATGCTTTTTTTTTTTTTTTAACTTACATGTAGGTACATTTGATAGAACAGCCGTTTTTTTTTTTACTTACTTGTAGGTACATTTGCCAGAACAGCAGCAGAAGCATTTCCAAACCTTCCATCTAATGATTTAGCTGACACTCTAATGGCATACGACTGTTTCTCCAATCCTGTAATCTCTGCCACTGTGTAAGGACCAATGTCAATAGACGGCCAGCTTTCCAAATTCTCTACATCAAACTGGTTATAAGAGACCCGATAGCCAGATACAGGGACTTTGGGTTCATTCCATGTGACCTGGATAGTCTTCCAACTGGTTCTACTAACCACAACCTGTTGGGGTGCAGGGGGCACTGAAACACAAGATTAAGGTTTTATTACAGAAAGTTAGAATCTTTTGCCTTTATTAATATGCAAAAACTGACATTTAAGTACTGAAGAGATTTTGTAGTTGATAACCATCTATAACTAATATCTGTTGTAAGATCCTGAATTTCTTCACAAAAAAGATACCATGTACATAGGCAACAATCTTAAACAGTGTTAATAAGTTAGATACTGTAGAATAACAGGAAATAAATAATCTTATCTCTAATGCTTTCCACTGAGAACTAAAGTACATATTTATTTTACTTATCCACATAACTTTTAGTGCACTGCACTCAGTAAGGTGGATGTTTACTTATTAATGGTACCTCAAAATAATACCTTAAAGGTTAAGTATTTCTGGATTTATAAGTAAATAGTTCATGCTGAAAAAACATCTATATGCATACTTTGTCCCTTTTCCTGAACATCTGTTAATCACTAAAGAGTTGATGCAAAGCATTTTGAAAGAGCAGTCATTCCCAAGGTCACTGGGCATTGGGCAAAGGCCAGTACAAATTGGTTTGGACCAAATGACCAGTAACAAATTTGATTTTGTCTAAATCATATGTGTAAATGTCCTGTAAAAAAGAGTCTGGTCCAGTTAAGAAAAAATGGTTTACAGACCAAATGTCCAGTTGATTTCTTAAAGCCTTGGGAACCACTGAAAGAGCTGTGCATACAGTGTCTAATATGGTTTCAATTCAGATTGCAATTAGATAAAATATCTCGTACAATATTACAATGGGTTCACACACTAATATTAATGAATATTGTCCAAGGCAGTTTATCATATTGCATTCACACCCTCAAGCGACATGTTACAATGTATATGGTTATAAACCATATTTCTTATATACACTGATTAAATCTTATAATATTTTTCTACCATGAGAATGCATTTGTTAGGCTATAAACTTTGCACTAACTAACATATTAAAAAAAAAATTGTATATATTGTAAACTCATTGATATAGGTGATATAGTTTGGTATCATTTAGTTTTAATTAAAGTTTAAACTGCCCATAAAGAATGCTGAAAAAAATTGCACTCACATTAACAAAAATTTGATTGACGGTAAAATACAGCATTCAGGACTATCAGATAATGAAACAATTTTCCCAAAACTATTCATTTTACCTTAGGCCACAATAAAGAATTTTGCTTTTCAAAAAACATTTTTACAGAAAGTATTATAATTTCTAATTAGACCTGTATTCATTCTTGAACTTTTGATTATGAATAGTATCTTAAATTACAGATTATTCCACTTTAGTCACATCTTTGGCTTGTTACAAAAACATATTTTGCTAATTTTGACATCTTATTGTACTGAACAAATTAACAGTTAAATTAAATGTTTACAAGATAGTTGAGTAATACATCCTTGGCTATCAATTTTTTTGGCTTTGAGCATTCCTATTGAAGGTAAACCCAGAATTCAGATTCATACACATTTATTATTAAATGTTATTTTCATTTACTGATGAATTGGCTATTGAATATATCAATACAAAGCATATATAGAAATTACTGAATTTTTGTTTGATATGCAAACTCTTTGTAACAAGGTGTAAAAAACATTTTGATTATTGAGTGAACTGACTCCTTTATTTCTTCAAAACTAAGGAAATGTATGAAAACAAAGATATTATTAGATAAATGCATTTATAACTAAATAGTGCATAACAATAAAGCACTAACTTCTTGTTAACAAAAATCTGCTAGTTTTTCTACTTTTACCTGGAAATTAATAGATACTACCATGCTGGTTTAAAACTCACACTAAATACAAAAGAGTGTGCATGTACACTTGTAAAAATCAAAGAAAATATAGTGATGTGCATGCATAGACTGTATTCACACTAAATATAATGTCGTGCGTGTATAATCTGGAGATGTTAGTACAATAATTCCTCATTTTCTAACATCTTGCTCAGAGCTTGGTAAATTAGTTTGTCGTAATATTTTTGTTAGTATTCTAATGTCAGACTTCATTCCAAAGTTTAAAAAAAAGGCCTACTTCGTCCATAAGTGTGGAAGATCAATTTTGTTGTCCAAGGGCCAGCACCTTTACTGGTAAATGCTCTAATCTGGAACACATAGTCAGTGTTCATATCTAGTCCAGTGATTGTATATTCTGTAGATGTCAGATTTAAATCTTCCACATCAATTTCAGCGAGTTTATGATAAATCATCTGGTACATGACAATTTCACCATTTTGCAGATGTTTGGCAGGCAGATCCCATTCTAATTTAATAGTTGTTTCACTAACACCCGTTACGGTAAAATTTTGAGGGGCTCCAGCAGGTACTATGTAATAATACAACACAAGTTGTGATAATGAAAAAATAACATAAATTTAACATAACATAGAAATACATTAATTAAAAATAATAAACTGTGCAAAAGTCTCAATGTCAAATGAGAATGATCGAGGAGGCAGGACCAAATAATTCGTAAAAGCTCACATCATTATGAGGATGTGCACCAAGTTTAAAGTTAATATGACCAATACTTTATGGTATAAAACATAACTTTCACCAGCTAAGTGACTGACAGACTAATGGAGAGACATATGCACAGACTGGAACAAAATAATGCCCGTTACTATTGTAGGTGGGGCATTAAAACATAAAAAATTATACAACAATCATAAAAATAAAACTGAGAGAATAAATATCAAAGTATAATGACATTATACCACTCCTAACAATCTACAAAGATCTATGAAACATGTGCAACATTAACCTTTAAACCAAGGGCTGTCTTTCACTTTCATAACTTCAATAATAACAAAAAGATTTTTAGTTTCTATTTCACTATTCTATTTTTCTCTTCAAATCTATCTTTAATAAAAAATTAAGTCCGGATGGTATCCCTTTATTATAACAAGGATTCCGTAAAAGTTTCCGAAGTTTACATTTAGGAAGAAAAAAGCTTACTGTTGTTTCAAAAATTTTAAACCTAGTTTAATTTAAACCTAGTTTCTATATGAGTGTTAACTCCAAAAAAGTCGATTTGTCAGTAAAATATAAAAAAATTTTTTTTTCATTTCTTTCAAAATTTGCTCTGGATCATGGAAAAGCTTGTCAAAGTTTCGTAAAATTCCATCAAGTTTTCACAAAGTTTGTGATGTCTAAAAAAAACTTTCACTGGAGACTTGACCTTAATGTTGACGAGATGGATAACAACAATTGAATCTAGGGTCACTATATGCCCTGGCATTACAAAGAAAGCCAAAGGCAAGACAAAAACAGACAGTTAAGGGAAGACTTACAAATTTGTATCAATTAACAAAATAGAAATTGCTACAAGTGGCTAGCTCTATTTTGTTATATCTGAGTCACAAATAAGTTCATTTGACATATAATGAAGTTTGGTACAATAATGTCTTAATTACCTCCATCAGGGATGTCCAGGGTTTTAACAGCACGATGTCCGACACCATTCTCATTCACAGCTTGTACACGGAATTCATATGTTGCACCTTTGTCTGAAAAAAAAAAGGTGAGGCATTTTTCTTAAAATATGAAAATTTACCATGCATCAAATCTTTCCTAAATTTTTCAATTTATGAGAAAAGAATTCCGTATCTAAACAGTCCATGCATTTTTATTATGTAAATAACAAGCATTCTGAGAGTATTGCATAGCAATACATAGTCTCCTACCGGTTAAAAATTAATTGTACTGGAACAAAATGCTAACTTGATCTATAAATTGTCATAGTGTAAACTATTTAACAAATATCAAGTCAATATCTTCAAGCATGAAGAAAAAAAGTCTGGAAAACTGATTATTTAAGTGAATTTTCTAAGTCCAAGGACCATAACTCTGCACAAAATTATCAGACTGGAACAAAATTGGAACTTGATCTGTAACTTGTCATGATAAAACAATATACCAAATATCAAATCAATATCTTCAAGCATAAAGAAAAAAGTGTGGAAAACTGATTTGCCGGACTGACGGAGTGCAAACCTAAAGTCCCCTTCGACTTCATCAGTAGGGGACTAAAAAGTAAACATGTATTTATAGACAAATTACACAAAATTATATGCAATTATCTAATATAAAGTTGGAACTATATAAACAAGAGTGCACACGCTGAAATGTCTCGCCTTCTTTACTAACCATTGATGTTATGTTGATAGTCCTAAATGAAAGCTTTACTACAACTATTACATAAACTTAACATGATCCAAGAAAATGAAGTCAAAGTCATATAAACCAAACGAGAAATACATGTACACCTTACAATCATTCAATACACTAAATATAGTTGACCTATTGCTTATAGTTTCTAAGAAACAGACTTAACCATGAAAACTAAACATTGACCAATGAATCGTGAAAATGAGGTCAAGGTCAGATGAACCATGCCAGGCAGACATGAACAGCTTACAATCCTTCCATACAACAAATATAGCTGACCTATTGCTTATAGTTTAAGAAAAACAGACTGAAACACATAAACTTAACACTGAGCAGTGAACCGTGAAAATGAGGTCAAGGTCAAATAAAACCTGCGAGACTGACATGTACATCATAGAATATTTCCATACACCAAATATAGTTGACTTATTGCATATAGTATAAGAAAAAAGACCAAAACTCAAAAACTTAACTTTGGCCACTGAACCATGAAAATGAGGTCAAAGTCAGATGACACCTGCCAGTTGGACATGTACACCTTACAATCATTCCATACACCAAATATAAAAGACCTATTGCATAAAGTATAAGAAAAACAGACCAAAACACGAAAACTAAACTATAACCACTGAACCATGAAAATGAGGTCAAGGTCAGATGACACCTGCCAGCTAGACATGTACACCTTACAATCATTCCATACACCAAATATAGTAGACCTATTGCATACAGTATAAGAAAAACAGACCAAAACACAAAAACTTAACTATAACCACTGAACCATGAAAATGAGGTCGAGGTCAGATGACACCTGCCAGTTGGACATGTACACCTTACAGTCCTTCCATACACCGAATATACTAGGCCTATTGCTTATAGTATCTGAGATATGGACTTGACCACCAAAACTTAACCTTGTTCACTGATCCATGAAATGAGGTCGAGGTCAAGTGAAAACTGTCTGACAGGCATGAAGACCTTGCAAGGTACGCACATACCAAATATAGTTATCCTATTACTTATAATAAGAGAGAATTTAACATTACAAAAAATCTTAACTTTTTTTTCAAGTAGTCACTGAACCATGAAAATGAGGTCAAGGACATTGGACATGTGACTGACGGAAACTTCGTATCATGAGGCATCCATATACAAAGTATGAAGCATCCAGGTCTTCCACCTTCTAAAATATAAAGCTTTTAAGAAGTTAGCTAACGCTGCCGCCTCCGCCGCCGTAGGATCACTATCCCTATGTCGAGCTTTTTGTCGCAGGCTCGACAAAAATGTACATTAATTTCGGTGCATACAGTTTCCTATTTTAATAAAACCTTCATACCTAGTTTGTCTGTAGGACAAACCCTTTACTTAAACCTACATAACTAGTTTGTCTGTAGGAAAACCCTTTACTAAAACCTACATACCTAGTTTGTCTGTAGGACAAACCCTTTACTAAAACCTACATACCTAGTTTGTCTGTAGGACAACCCTTTACTAAAACCTACATACCTAGTTTGTCTGTAGGACAAACCCTTTACTAAAACCTACATAAATAGTTTGTCTGCAGGACAACCCTTTACTAAAACCATCATACCTAGTTTGTCTGTAGGACAAACCCTTTACTAAAACCTTCATACCTAGTTTGTCTGTAGCGAAACTGTATCTACTATAGGATAGTACTTTAGCATATATCAGGTCTCCTTTACGTCCCCATGAGACTCTGAAGTGCTTCAGTGCACCAGGAACATGTAGTGGTTTTTGCCAACTCATGCTAACTGAGGGATTCTCTGCATTGACTAATTCTACATCAAAATTTCTTGGTTCTGAAGGAACTGCAATGGAAACCAGTAATCATTTCTTTAATTATACTTTGTTTTAAGTTAACCATTAACCATATGTAACTAACAACAGTTATTGTACTTGTGGAGTTGTTGCTAAAATAACTAAGTTAATACAGCCACTTGTCCAAGTTAGTCTTTGGATATATTTTTAATGTTTAAGTTCTTCAGTGAATTTGGTGATGGTTGAAGACATTTTATAGGCGTCGCTAAATCTATTAATTGTTGGTATTTCATGCACTTTTAGCTATATTGTAGATGTCAGTTTTTAATGATGGAGGAAGCCAGAGTGTCCAAAGTGAACCAAGACCTTTTGGCATTTTTTTTAAGACATTGAGTAATTTAGAACTTGACCTATATATTATACATGTATTCTGATATTTGTCTATTATGAAGGCTGTATGATGACATCAATATATTGTATGTTTTTTTTGCTGTTGGTGGGCTGCTGTCTCAATTACATATATATCTCCTAATTTTTGTTTACATATATATATTTTTTACTCAATAACATTAATTTCACCAAATCATCACATTTTTTTTTGGTAGGAAAAGATAAATGTTCAGCATACCTGGACCAGATGTTTTTATTTTCCTCTCTTCACTCCTTTCACCATCCCCCTTTCGTGTATAACCAGCGACTGTTATCCTGTAGAATGTATTAGGATCCAGTTCAGTGATCACAGCCTCCACAATGCTGCCATCTTTTGTATCATAATATTTCTCCTGGCCTTTAGGATTATCATTATCGTCCAATGGTATAAAATAAACATAATATCCTCGGATAATTCCATTTCTTTTATGTGATACAGGAGGTCTCCATTCCACAAATAAGGTGGTTGAGTTGACGACATCCACTTTAACACTTTTAGGTTCCCCTGGCACTGAAGTTTAGAAACAACATATAATATACATGTATCAACAGACTAGCTACCATTTAAATATAGTTACATGGAGTCTTGTTTCAGTATTAAACCCTACAACTTTACAAGCATATTATTCATAGAACATATCTTAACCCTTCATTACCAAAATGTCCAAGATTTCATTGCAGTTTCACAATTTTCCTACTGGGATCAAATTTTTGATAAAATCTTGAACCAGTGGCCATTTTGACAGTTCCATATATTTGCCACCTAAATACAATATGAAAATAAGTAAACTGTTGGTGGCAGCATTGGTATACCAATTGGCAATAACTTTTAAAAACCCACCTTCAATACTTCAATGTAAAATCACAAAATATTTTGTTTCCAATGGTTAAAGCAGTATTTTTCCAATGTGGTCCAATGAAAAACAAAGCTCCCCATAATGGTAGTTATATTGGTTAACCAATCAGAACCAAAGTAAAACCACTTGGTCAATATCTTCCCAGGTTACTTCCGGACATATTTGGTTTCAATTGATTTAGCAGTTGTCACAATTTTTTACCATTTATTTTCCATAAGAAACATTCATATATGAAGACAGCCATCTTAAAGTTGCAGAGTGACAAGGAAAGAAAATACCAAAAACATAAGGAACAAATTAAAAAGTAGGTTCCACTCTTGTCAGTACTACCAGTTGGCCATACCAAAATATTTGCCTAAGTATCTGATGAGAATCTATTTCATGTAGACTTTTCAATACTGGGTACAATGTAACACTTGACTAAATTGAACCAATGTAATATATCCTTGCAAGAAGCCTTCCTACCATACCAAATGTTGACACAGCAGCTCTTAACAAGACTTTTCAATATATTTTCTATAGAAAAAAAAACAGAGTATGCAACTTCTGTAATGGTTGGCCCTCTGGGGGGTCATGTGAAAGCCAAGTAACATCTTTGACCTTTTTTGTATATACATTGTATATATATTATGTGATTGATGTCATCAGACAAAATACAGTTATTTGTGTCTACTATGTTAGCCAGTAATTACTTTCACCCTATCCAATCAAAGTTATGCCAAACAATGGACTTAAATTGAACAGACTTAACTGTAGAATTATGTATTTTCATTTGTATGGTGTGTGCCATCTTTTGCAGCAATTTGAGGGGTTCTAACTACCAAAATTTATGAGGTTCAAAAAAACAAAATTAAAAAAAATCTTGCTCATTTGGAAGAAAAACGCATTAACAGAGTTAGTAACCTATGATCAAAATCTAGTACAATTATTATGATTAAACGATATAAAGGTGTAAGCTCAGGTAATGACTCATGACCTCTTACTGAATGATTCATACATATATTTCTCATTGTAAAATTAGCATAATTTAAATTAATACAAAGATATCTCTGTTTTGACTGAATTAGCATATATGTGCATATCAAACATATATTGATATTGTTGCAAGAATAAAAGGGAATATTGCAAATGAGTAAGTAAAAAGGTCCAGTAGAAAATCTTGCAAGAGGAAACCCTTGGGCATATAAAAATGCCTTAATTTTCTGTGTTTAAATCCCACAAATCTGGAAAAGCAAATCAGAAAATATCCAAAATCAAAATGGAGCTTACTTTCAACAATTGTAGTTACAGCGCAAAATATTCATATTCAAAGTTTAAAGTCAGTGGCAGATCCAGGGGGGGGTTTCCGGGTGTTGGAACCCCCCCTTTTTTTGACGATCAATGCATTTGAATGGGGACTTATAGTTGGAACCCTCCTTTATCCTGGGTTGGGAACCCCCCTTTTAAAAATGGCTGGATCCGCCCCTGTAAGTCAATGTAGTTGAGCATTTAAAGTTGGTATTCTTCACATGGAAAATTTACTTAAATCTTGAGGGTACATAAATCCAAGCATACTCAAGGTTGTGAGCGATATATGAAAAATTGCTTTAAATATTACAGCTAAAATCCTGAAATTCTTGGTAAAACAGAAAAATATTTTAAATCAAACGGAAGCTTACTTCCACTGATTCAAATATCAACACAAGTTTATGAAACTTTATCAAAGCATTCTGTAGCTTTCATATGACAGGTTGAGAGACAGAAAGACTTGGGTATACCAATACATGTCCCATTTACAATCTGCTTATAATTAGATTTTTCATCCATTTATTTCACGTCTAAAAATTGGAAATCTGCATTTTCCTTTAAATAAAATCTAAAATGTCTGGTACTGCCATAGTTGATCTTGTTGTTATTAAATTTAAGAAGATAACTGAATTGTTACTAACATCTTAAATTTTTTGTGAAATTCTTCAGTAACCATATTATTATAAATAGAATCCCATTTCCTTATAACTGGAAACAAATAACTAAAAAAATATATTTTGCAGAAACAATACTTGAATGCACTACAATCATACAGAATAATTTCTGGAAATCAAACACACATGCATCATGCAACATCTAACATCAAACATCAACATACTTACAGTCCAAGAGAGATAACTCTAATATTAGTTCTAACATGTATAACTGGTTCCCCAATAGTCTGCCATCCAGACAACAGGTAAAGGGGTAATGAAAGACAGTCAAGTATTTTGATAATTTGACCTTTTACCTGTTGTTTCTAAGCAAAAAGAACACCAAACTTATAAATATGTGGGTCATATATATGGGGGGCAACACCATATCCAATATTATCAAGTTAGTATCCCTTATTTCTTTGCCTGAATGATTCTGAGTTTTGATTTTTTTATAATCTTTATTTCATACTACAATTCTGAGCTCCAGAACAAGAATATCATAGAAGACAACAAAATGAAGAATTATTCTGAAGGATTTCTGTCAAGCTAAACATATAACTATAGATGATAGCTAAATCAAAATGTTTTATGATGATGATGATGTTGATTATGATAATGTTGATTATTTTGATTATGATTATGATGATTGCTATGATTATGATGATGATGTTGCTTATGGTGATTACAAATAAATCATGACAATTTTCAAAAGGCAAAAAATTAACTTCCAGGAAGCAAACTGAATTCAATGATTTTACATAATGATAAGAATAGGTCTAACCTGTTCTTGAGTCAAAGGATGTAGAGGAGTTAACCATTCACATTGCAGTAATTTCCTTACGGTACTGTTAAATAAATATCCCCTTTGGAAGGAACTATATCAAAATATGATTTCATATATCTAAAATTGACTTCTAAAATTATTTTTTTGACAGAAAATTATGCAAACATCAAAGTGCAGGAAATTGAGAAAGTATTTCTACATACTGTGGATTCATTTATTTTCGTGGGTATCAATTTTCGTGGATTGAGGAAAACCTACATTTTCGTGGATATTTGAATTCGTGGTTTGCCGATTTCTGTGTACAAAGCCTATAGAAAATTTGTAATTCGTTGAACATATGAATTCGTGGTTCACCTGTACCCACGAAACCCACGAAAATTGGTATCCAACGAATAATAATGAATCCACAGTAATTGATACAGCGGATTGAATTGAATATTTACTGAATATTGCATCACCGTAAGTACCAATAATTTTTCTGATGTATAGTTACACCTCTCCTATAATTGTATGATTAGTGATGTAGATCTCTACACACAATTGATTTAAGAAGCCTTAAATTTTTTCACATCACAGGAAGTACAGCAAAGGGATATCCCAACCGTTTTCTTGTATGATCATAAAGTTAAGAAATCTTTGAAACAAGTAACAGATGAGTGGTCAGCACAACTAACTTTTTTGTTTGAAATGATATGAATACAGAATGTCAGATAAGGGGGAATGGTTATATATTTTTTAAGAGAATGTCTAAGTGTTCCATTTATTAAAATACTAAATTGATTAGTAGGTTACAAGAGTGCATGTGTAAGATTATTGCCTAATTTCATACACCAGGTGCTATCTTTACCATCTGTTGAGACTGGTTTATATTCAACTATCTAATGAATTCTCAAGGATAAAATTTTCAGTGCATATCTACATCAAAACCCTTATGTTTGACAGTCACGAAAAAGTTCTGTAAAGGGACAATGGTTACTGATTTCCACTGCCTTTGATGATTTTTAATGTTGGTCCATGTATAGGAAAACAAAATGAATCAGTTAAAGTTAAACCTTATAAGATATATTCCTGAATTTGACGATGAAGGTTGCAGACAGAATGAGAAATATGAAGACTTCTGATGATATTTTTAGACATCAAATATTTTTCTCAACTGCATATTATTTTTGATGAAGGCATTAATTCTGGTTAAAGTAATTCTATGTTTTGGCTTGTCTTGGATTAAGGTTAAACAACAGCAACCATTGATAGGAGAAACTTGAGTGTAAAATGGATCTGGTTGATGGTTAGACCATGCTGTATACAGCATGCATGGGAACTGATGAATAATGAAAACTAAAACAAAAACACAATGTGAATGACATGTGGTGTGAAAAACAAAATGATAAATCCCCTCCCCTCCCAAACACACACAGATGATTAAAGCATTGACAGAAATCCAGCCATTTAACCAATTTTGTTATTAAAATCAGTAAATACAACAAAATCATTCCAACGGGGATAACTCCAGCTATATGTTGCCATGACTACCTACCATCTTCTTGGGTCCGTACAATAACATGAGGAGATGGCGGGCCATCCCCCACTGTTGTGAAGGACAGGACCCATATCTTATAATCGGTCCAAATGTTCAGTTCGCCCAACATCAACATTCTGGCGTCTTTGCCGACCTTGACAGCAGTAGCATCCTCGTCAGTCAAGTCGCTATCATTTTTACGGAAATAGATTCTATAACCTTCTATTTCGCCATTGTGTTTTTCGACTGGAGGTGGTTTCCATGTGACCTTGATACTATTTTTACTGACAGGTTGCCCAGTAACAGCTTGGGGTGCAGCACTCGGAACTTTTTAAGAAAAATATGGGTAAAACAATAAAGAAACAAAAGCTTTGAATATAAATGAACAGAAATTGATACATGCATCGAGTGGAATCAACATGCAAAAATGAAAACTGCAATTTCTGTAAGTTTTGGGATTAGAAACTAGTTTCCACTGCATCCAATAGGACGGTTTTTCTGATGAATGTAATCTGAACTGATAAACTGCAGAGAACTCTATCAAAATTCTAAGTGTAGAATAGTATGATTTCATGTATTATATTTATCTAAAATTAGCTGAAAGTTTAATAGCATCACCTAATAATTTTATAAAATGTCTAAACGATTACTGTTTCAAATTCTCAAAAGTATTTTTTAAATTTCCATTGGATACAGAGGTATAATTTATTTTTTACATCTACTCGCATCTAATCTGAAGGTTCATTACAAAGTAAGCTGCAATTACAATTACAAGTGCGATCTTCTAAAACTTAACACAGCTATGTTACTTTCTAAAGTTTCAATTTTTGCATGTTATGATTTCCATAATGCAGCTATATTTTACAAACGATATGAGAAAATAAAATCAATGATGTATCAGATGATCTTTTGTCTTTAGTGAATAAATTAAATCTTAAAACACTTTAAATTATATATGATGACTTAACAAATGTTTAAAATCATAATAAATAAGCAGATGATAAACAAGCTTGCACAAATTAAACTATTGAGTAACAAAAATTATGGCATTGCAAATTAAAAAAATTTATGTATTTATTGCCAAACATGTGAACCTTATGCAAATTGTCTTGCTACTGCTCAGACCATTTGAATTCTATCAAGAGCTATTTAAAATGTTGTTACTTGTTGATCAGGTTAATTAGCTTTTTAAGTTTTACCCAAGTTCCACTGGAGCAATATAGTTTGAACAACAATCAAATATTAAATAGCTGTAGATAGAATTTAATTGAACAGTTACAAAAAAATATGAATTTGGTAAGGCCATCTCTGGGATAAAACCGTTTCATATCACTCAGTATTTCTGTTCATGAAATAAAAGAAAATAAAACCCTTGGACCAAAATATAACTAAAAGAACATAAAAATTAAAATAACCAACCCCAACTGGAAATTATTTGAATGAAAAGTCCCTGTATACATTCTCCAAAAACTATTTCATCTACATTTAGTCTTCAAATATCAATCTTACACAAAAACTGTTTGAAAGAAAGTAGTAAAAAATAAGTGTGTTGAAGATGAAATTTAATTTTCTAAAAAATCAAGTGTTTTTGTGCACGACATTTAACTTGTGGATATTCAAACTTTTCATTCAATAAAAGACACATGTGACATTTACTTACTTCCTGTTCGATCATTAATCCATTTTGTATCTACATGTTCATTTTACGAAAAATTACAAAATTTATCAACAAAACATTCCAAAATTCTAATAAGAATATGTTACAAGCATTCCTAGGTAGTCAGAATAAAAAGAAAACATATATAATAAGAGAAGAAAGCTTTATAGAGCAACATTCCATGACGTCTGTCATACTGTAAAAAGATACATGAGTATAAAAATTCTGTAAACTCATTTTTCAAGGTCATACACTGAGGAACATTCCTAAAAGGACAGTTTTTATAAATATAGTATCTTACTTTGTAAATCTATGACAACATTTAACTAAGGATTTGTGAAAGAGACACACTTGCCAACCACTGTCACTGCACTATAAGCAGTTATATACAAAGGTCATAGTGAACAGTTATATACAAAGGTCATAGTGAAGGTCACAAATAATGGAATCTGTTACTTTACAGGAATTATCAAAGGGGAGTAACTTCAATAAACTGTGAAAATTCTACATAACTTTACTTTTTTAACCAGTGTTTTTAATTAAAGTTTACTTGTTGTCTTCACAATAACTTGGATTTACAAGCTAAATAATAAGTTTTTCATATAATTTCTTTAAATTTATATGGCTTGTTAGAATTCTTTTTGGGATTTTTTTTTTATTGAACTGACAACATTTTTACTGCCTAGGCTGTTGGGCTTGAGGCTAATTGTGATGACTGCTGTCAATGGATGCTTTTCCAATCTAAGCATCAATCAATTTTCTCTTTAAAAGTTGATTTTAACACAATTTTCAGGTAAGTAACAAATTCCATTCAAAATAATAATATAACATCTTGACGATACAATACTACGGAAAAATTAAAACAAAATTTTGAAGATTACTCATTTTACAATGTTTACAAACATCATACATACCAAACTGAGGAGTTTTCCTCTGAATTATAGTAGATTTTGGCCCTTCACCGGTCATTGAAGTAGCTGACACCTGAATATGATAAATAGTATCTGGAATGAGTTCTTCCAGTAAGTAATTGTTAGTTGGTGGCTGAATTACTACATGAGCTGCCTGTCTGGCTGTGGAATCATTGTAGTAAAGTATATAGCTCTTTATACGACTGTAGTCATCTGGTGGGGACCACATCACTTCAATTTTATTTGGTCCCTTCTCATTAGCATGTAAATTTCTTGGTTGACCAGGAACTGAAAAACATTTAAAATTAAAATAATAAATATCATGTCACTTAATTAGAAAAAAAATACGAACTTTGTCACTGACATTATCCTTTAATATTTTTTTTTTAATAAGAGAAGAAATTGATGAAAATATTAGCACTATACATAAAGGTAAGAAAAAAAAGTTCATAAACGTAAAACAAAAGAAGATTTATTCACAAAACCTGTATTCAGTTCCTAGGGAACATAATTCTTAATTTACTGGTGTCTGGCTGTACCATCGCAGCTTGCTTGCTACTGCATAAGACGCTGCTTGGCATGAGCAACAAAGCATTTTTGACCTTCTCTATGCTACAAGCAGCCGCAATAGTATTTCATCTTGGTCACACACAACAACTTATTATATTAAATATCCATATAATATGACATACCTAAAAACCAAAATTTCAAATAACTTTTCACCAAATATGCTTCTGTTGCAGTGTATTCAAAAATCAACAACACACTGACTGCTAATTTGATCTTTAAATTCATTTGTTCTCAACAATCAAAATTATAATTCTGGACTGTAAGATGGCATTTTTCTTTGTAGGCTGGGTAATTTATAATGTTATAATACTATTACAAATACAGTCAAACCTGCATATAAAGGTCACCCTTGGGACCAGAGAGAACCTTATAAGAGAGGTGACTACAGTAGAACAAGAGATGGGTTACCTAACAAGACAGGTTTTCACTTAACAGAAGTGACTTTTATAGCAGGTTTGACTGTATTTCAGTACCTTTAAAAGAAAAAAAATAACCAACCATACATATTTCCTATTTTACAGTAATTATTTATCTCTACATCTATAGAAATGGCAAGGTCTTGAATTTTAGCAATATCTATTTAAAAGCTGCCAAAGTATGTTTGGAATTTTCCATCAGATCAGGAAACTAGAGGCTCTAAAGAGCCTGTGTTGCTCACCTTGGTCTATATGCATATTAAACAAAGGACACAGATGGATTCATGACAAAATTGTGTTTTGGTGATGGTGATGTGTTTGTAGATCTTACTTTACTGATCATTCTTGCTCCTTACTATTATCTCTATCTATAATGAACTTGGCCCGGTAGTTACAGTGGAAAATACTTTGTAAAAATTTACAAAAATTTACAAAATTATGAAAATTGTAAAAAATTGACTATAAAGGGCAATAACTCCTTAAGGGGTCAATTGACAATTTTGGTCCTGTTGCCTTATTTGTAGATCTAACTTTGCTGTACATTATTGCTGTTTACAGTTTATCTCTATCTATAATAATATTCAAGATAATCACCAAAAGCTGCAAAATTTTCTTAAAATTACCAATTCAGGGGCAGCAACCCAACAACGTGTTGCCTGATTGGTTTGAAAATTTCAGGGCAGATATATCTTGACCTAATGAACAATTTTATCCTCATCAGATTTGCTCTAAATGCTTTGGTTTCAGAGATATGAGCCAATAAAATGCTTCGCTGGGCGCAGCTTGATACGACCGCAGAGGTCGAACCCTGAACAGTTGGGGCAAGTATGGACACAACATTCAAGCTTGATACAGCTCTGAATTTGGATTGTGATTAAATATTTGACACAGCATAGGTTTCTGACACAGAAAGAATGTGATCTAAGAACTTCAATTTTTTTAATTTACCTATTATGGTCCAATGTCCAAAATCAAAATACATGGTTAGATTCAGCATATCAAAGAACCCCATATATTCAATTTTTGTTGAAATCAAACAAAGTTTAATTTTGGACCCCAACTTGGACAAACTTGAAAACTGGTCCCATAATCAAAAATCTAAACACATGTTTAGATTCACCATATCAAAGTACCCGAAGAATTCAATTTTTGTTAAAATCAAACTAAGTTTAATTTTGGACCCTTTGGACCTTAATGTAGACAAATTTAAAAAATGGGACCCTAAATTAAAAATCTAAAAACACAGTTAGATTTGGCATATCAAAGAACCCCAATAATTCAATTTTTGATGAAATCAAACAAAGTTTAATTTTGGACCCTTTTGACCTCAATATGAACCAATTTGATAGCGGGCCCACAAATAAAAAATCTAAATACATGGTAAGATTCAGCATATCAAAGAACCCCATATATTCAATTTTTGTTGAAATCAAACAAAGTTTTATTTTGGGCCCCAATTTGGACCAACTTGAAAACTGGGCCAAAAATCTAAAATCTAAATACATGTTTAGATTCAGCATATCAAAGAACCCCATATATTCAATTTTTGTTGAAATCAAACAAAGTTTAATTTTGGACCCCAACTTGGACCAACTTGAAAACTGGGCCCATAATCAAAAATCTAAACACATGTTTAGATTCAGCATATCAAAGAACCCTAAGAATTCAATTTTTGTTAAAATCAAACTAAGTTTAATTTTGGACCCTTTGGACCTTAATGTAGACAAATTTAAAAAACGGGACCCAAAATTAAAAATCTAAATACACGGTTAGATTCGGCATATCAAAGAACCCCAATAATTCAATTTTTGATGAAATCAAACAAAGTTTAATTTTGGACCCTTTGGACCTCAATGTGGACCAATTTAAAAACGGGGCCCAAAATCCAAAAACTTAATACACGGTTAGATTCAGCATATCAAAGAACCCCAAGAATTCAAGAATAAAACCCCATTGAAATTGATCAAGAAATAAGCAATTTATACGAAGTATCTTCTTTTGCACAATACTGTGCAATTGAATATTTCTTGCTATTGCGCAATACTGTACAATTGACAATTTCTTGCTATTGCGCAATATTGTGCTATTGGATATTTCTTGCTATTGCGCAATACTGTTAAATTGAAGATTTCTTGCTATTGCGCAATACTGTGCAATTGAAGATTTCTTGCTATTGTGCAATACTGTGCAATTGAAAATTTCTTGCTATTGCACAATACTTATTATATAATAATTTACACATCCTGTTTGGTGTGTATCTCCTACCATATCATTATTATTTGCTTTTAAATATAAATCAGAAATAACCCAACTTAAAATGGAAAATTTTAAAAGAAAAAAAAAAGGAAAAAAAGAAAAAAAAAGAAAAAAAAAAATCCCCCCCCCAAATTTTTTGAACCCCCTTATGATTCATCACCCCCAAACTCAATCCCAGCCTTCCCTTTGTGGTATGGTACCTTGCAGTACAATTTCAGAGAGATCCATACACTTGAACACAAGTTATTGTCTGGAAACTAGAAAAATGCTTATTTTTGGCCCCTTTTTGGCCCCCAATTCCTAAACGTTTCGGGCAATTACCCCCAAACTCAATTCCAGCTTTCCCTTTGTGATATGGAACCTTGTAGTACAATTTCAGAAATATCCAAACACTTACACACAAGTTATTGTCATGAAACTAGAAAAATGCTTGTTTTTTGCCCCTTTTTTGGCCCCTAATTCCTAAAATTTTGAGGCAATTACCCCCAAAATCAATTACAGCCTTCCCTTTGTGATATGGAACCTTGTGGTACAATGTCAGAGAGATCCATACACTTACACACAAGTTATTGTCTGAAAGTTACAAAAATGCTTATTTTTGGCCCCTTTTTGGCCCCTAATTCCTTAACTGTTGGTACCATAACCCCCAAAATCAATCCCAACCTTCCTTTTGTGGTATTGAACCTTATGGTGAAATTTCATGGAGATCCATTCACTTAAACTAAAGTTAGAGTGCGAAAACCAATGTGTCTTCGGACGACGACGACGACGACGACGACGACGACGACGACGCCAACGTCATACCAATATACGACCAAAAAATTTTTAATTTTTGCGGTCGTATAAAAACTGCATTTTACCCATATTTACTATTTTTTAGCCATGTCGGCCATCTTGGTTCGCGGGCGGGGTCATCGGACACATTTTTTAAACTAGATACCCTAATGATGATTGTGGACAAGTTTGGTTAAATTTGTCTTAGTAGTTTCAGAGGAGAAGATTTTTGTAAAAAATTACAAAAATTTACGAAAAATGGTTAAAAATTGACTATAAAGGGCAATAACTCCTTAAGGGGTCAACTGACCATTTTGGTCAAGTTGACTTATTTGTAGATCTTACTTTGCTGAACATTATTGCTGTTTACAGTTTATCTCTATCTATAATAATATTCAAGATAATAACCAACTAGAGGCTCTCAAGAGCCTGTGTCGCTCACCTATATTTACTGATGCTTTGGAAATCATGTAAAATAAGGTTAAAATCATAATTAATATTATTAGATATTAGATATTATACTGATATCTAAGATATTAACAAAAAACTGCAAAATTTTTGTAAAATTACTAACTCAGGGGCAGCAACCCAACAACGGGTTGTTGGATTCGTCTGAAAATTTCAGGGCAGATAAATCTAAATCTGATGAACATTTTTGCCACCTGTCAGATTTGCTCTAAATGCTTTAGTTTCAGAGATATAAACCAAAAACTGCATTTTACCCCTATGTTCTATTTTTAACCAAGTCGGCCATGATGGTTGGAAGGCGGGGTCATCGGACAAATTTTTTAAACTAGATACCCTAATAATGATTATGGCCAAGTATGGTTAAATTTGTCAGAGAAGAAGATTTTTGTAAAAGATTACATAAATTTACAAAAAATTGGTAAAAATTGACTATTAAGGGCAATAACTCCTAAAGGGGTCAACTGACAATTTTGGTCATGGCAACTTATTTGTAGATCCTACTTTGCTGAACATTATTGCTGTATTACAGTTTATCTCTATCTATAATAATATTCAAGATAATAACCAAAAACTGTAAAATTTCCTTAAAATTACCAATTCAGGGGCAGCAACCCAACAACAGGTTGTCAGATTTGTCTGAAAATTTCAGGGCAGATAGATCTTGACCTGATGATCAGTTTTACCCTATGTCAGATTTACTCTAAATGCTTTGGTTTCAGAGATATAAGCCAAAATCTACATTTTACCCCTATGTTCTATTTCTAGCCATGGCGGCCATCTTGGTTGGTTGGCGGGGTCATTGGACACATTTTTTAAACTAAATACCCTAATGATGATTGTGGCCAAGTTTGGTTAAATTTGGCCCAGTGGTTTCAGAGGAGAAGATTTTTGTAAAAAGCTAACGACGACGACGACGGACGACAAGTGATGAGAAAAGCTCACTTGGCCCTTCATGCCAGGTGAGCTAAAAACTGTAACAGGAAATCACATGCAAGTATTAGTTTTGGACATAGGTATTTAGTGTGTAAACAAATGATTGTTACTGGTACTGGCTCATCATTATACATCTTCCTCTTACAAATAAACATAACAAACAATTTCAAAACTTTCACATGCAATATACATATTTGAATCTTAATTTGGACAGTAAAGACATGCATGTATTTAGTTAATTTCAAAACAAATATGTATTTAATTATATACGTTTTACTTTCAGGAAAAGAGAGAAAATAAGAGCTTTCAGATTTATCCTTTTTTCCTTCAATTGATATAACTTTCATGCACAATGTGATATATTTTTCTTCATTCCGTAATCTTAAAATATATGTGCAGGTCATTAAAAAAAACTTTTTATTTTATTTCTAAAACTGCTTGTTTGGTCCTTGCGACCATTTGATTTTTCTCCAAAAGAATGCTCCAATTCTTCAGATGAGTATCATCTCAATGGACTTGAACATTAAAAATAACTTTGTCAGACACTTTTAAGTTTTTGCAGTCAAGGTAGATAACTCTTATCTAATATCTTTGGAAAGATGTCTTACCAATTTTCAAATTAACATACAAAGCATGCAAAGGTTAATATTCCTAAAGAATTCAGCAAATTTTTCTTCAGTGATTGAAAATCTTCAATATGAATTAACTTGATGACCAGGAAATAATTGATGAGTATCAGCTTAATGTTGCATCAGTGACTTATTTCAACACATAGGACAGTTTTTAGAGAGTACTCAGGTTTTCAACATAAATGAAAGAGTTAAGGATTGCTATGTACAATTTACCAATGGTATTGATTATATACACCACATGCTATCATTGCTCTATCCCTAATAACACAGATTAAATTATTTTTTAAGTTTTACCTCAAAAAGCGTTGAACAAATTTTGAAATCAAATTAGAATACAGAATACAGAATGATTTTTTTTTTTTAGAAAACTACACCTGATGCAGATTAATAGTTATTTAAAGTCTAAATACTCTAATTTAATGAGTTAGGAGCCAGTTAGCAAGAGTTTGTAATCTATTTTATTATTGTGAGATAAATAGGACCCTTTATTGTGTCATGCTAATCTGTAAAAATGTATATCAATCACTATTGTTTTGGAAATTTGATTTATAAGGGAGACAATCTCTTGGCTGTTTAACATTCTGTGACTATTCTATAACAGTAAACAGGCATGAGCAAGCCAAGAACAGTATTTGCTTACCATCAATATTAGCTGAAAAGGGAGATAATCATTGTAATCATTTTGCCAAGGTATTCTACATGTATGTAGAATTTCTTGGTTTAGTATAAAAATCTCATAGATATAATTATACTGATAGAAAAAGACAACAAGAGCATGCTCTGGGATTATAGCTGTCAAATATTTTTTCCCGTTCTTATATTTATTTTACATAAGAAATACATAACTTTAGTTTATAGTGTGGCTTATACGGTGAAACAGAGAAATCCAAATATTTTAGTATGAAAAGCCAGTCAACTGAAATGACAAATGTTGATTACCAGAAATAAAATTCAAAATTAAATTCTGATGTAAAAGACGGTCAACAGGAACAAAACACCAGCTCGACCTCTAGGTCACTGTACTAAAAATCAGGTCCATATGTGCAGGCATTACAAAAAAGTAAGGATAACTGATTGATTTCAAAATGAGGGAATGACAGTATGGCAAATATTGGTAACACCAAGTGAGTATTTCTCATAAATAGATGAACTTTTTAACACTATACATTTAATTTGAAATTTACAATTTCGTTTTTTTTCCCCCCCTCCCCAACAGTTTGACAGATTTTTTTTTCTGTACTGAGTGAAACTTTCCTGTTTCTACACATTATCACTCAGAAAATTATTTTAATAGTAAAAACTGTATACAAGCAAATCCTTTAGTTATCAGGGTCCTAGGGCTCTTTTCACAAATAATCTTAAGACCAAAATTGAAGGTTAGTTATACTGAAATGTTCACGACTTATAATTTTTCTCTAAGATTTTTTGTGAAATGAGATGCTGCTTATTTCAATGTCACTGGAGAATAATTATAGAAGTGCCAAGTTTTACAGTGAAAATCAATCTATAACATAGAAAAAAGTTCCACTCTAACTAAATATTTAATACAAGAAACTAAAATAAGCTTTCAAATAATGATGTACAGATTCATACGAACACTTTGTGTTGAGATTCTAATATCACAAATGAAATGGTAAATAAAAACTTGATTTGTGGACAGTAAATAACTAAAGGAGACGTGTTCAGACTCAGCCGTCCAAACATGTGCTGGAAAGAAAAAATACATCAACGCAGCTCACCGTAAATTCCTGTAAGTGTGCGAAGGCAGCAGATAAAAAAACAACGCATAAGTCAATCACATATTTCAATGCATATCAATAGCAATTGTTCATCTCTATAATTCGCTGGCGCTCTGAGCGCATTCCATTTAATATTTAAAACGTTTTTTTTATTAATTTTAAATCTAATTTTTAGCAAAAGTTCTTAAACAATTAAATTACATTCTCTCTTTTTTCTTATATTATTTTTCTTTTAACAAATTTCTAATCAATATGAACATGAATTATATAAAAATTGTAAAATGGAAAAATTACAACATAAAAAAAAAAGTTTTGACGAGAGAGAAATATGAGTAGTAGTTTTACTTAAAAAGGCAACACTGAAAGAACGCGCAAAACAAATTAATGAAAAACTGATTGAGAGTGTTCTATACTAATATCAAATAGAGCATGCTCGCTAGGTATATATAGTAGGAACAGGCGCATGATCACATATGCACGCAAAACACATACGCATAAATGCGAGCCATTCAGAATACAAATAGTTTTGTGATAAGACAAAGGGTACATACAAGACAGTATAGTAAATATTTGAAAGATTCTTTGTTCATAATTTATCAGATTTCATTCATTCATAGATTCAAGAAGTTATTTTCAAAATTGGAATAAAAGACATGCAGAACAAGAAAAAGACACGTACTGTGACAAAAATGTTTAAGAACACTTACTTCGAATTGTCACTAATTTAAAATCTGCTAAGCTGACAATATAGGAGTGTTAATGACGGAGAAATGTTAAATTAGATACTAATCACATTTACAAATTATTTATCAAAATGTACACTTTTAATTAACAGAAATAATTGTGTTTGACTTATTTCTTGCAGACGTTTCTTTCTAACATTTAATTATTTAAGTTTGGAGAGATTGATTGATTGATTGTTGGTTGCTTAACATCCAGTGGAAGTATGGATAGAGGTGAAGCTTACATCACAAACCTGTAAGACACCAAAATTATAGTTACTTATAAAAATTATAATTTTCTTATCTACAAGCCAAATCGTGTCCATCTATTTAAAGTTTACCAAAGGGTGTGTTCGCACTTTTTTGAAGTTTTAGGTGAAAATTGTTCATCCTACTCCTCACAGCCTTGCTGTTTAAAAACTATGCTGTTCTAAATAAAATCATAATGAATCAATTTTTCATTGATGTATTTATTAATATTTACATCAAAGATTTGTTTTGCTTGTCAGTTGGTTATATTTGACACCTGTATGTACATCTGTATGTACTACTAAAATGTTGTCAATGTTTTGTGTCATAAATAAAGTAATTTTACTATTAAATTTTCAGTGACAACACTCGCTTTGTCAGGTTTCAACACCTTATGTTTCAGATTTAGCATCAAAGAAATTATTTTTAGAAAATGTTATTTGAAGCTTTCTTTTAAAACAAACAAATGTTTCATTAAATAGAGCGATACATTCTGAATCAGAGCTAACCTTTTCTCACATCCGACATAATTATCTTTTTTCTATAATTTTTACGGTAGCTCTGTGCTGATTGTCACGTAACAAAATCAGACAATTTCATTCACATAGAAAAATTGCCAGCTTAGCAGATATATTTTTCACCTTCTCTAAATTAGTGAGCAATACCGGTGTACTTACTTACCCGGATAATATACTGTAAATTACACAATTTTCATTGGTCAAACATATAGCATTCCCACAATACACTTGTTTAAGACTCCAGAAGTTATTCAGTATAATTTCAGAATTAAGTTTATTTTAGAGGAATATCGATTCTCATTCTTAAATTTTGAATTTCAATATACAATGGTTCATCAGCAAAGAAATTTTAAATTTATAAAAAAAATATGAAAAAGAAAAATCAGAATTTTGTATTTTTACTTTATTGTTAAAGGTTCCATTTCAGATGCTAGATTTTTCTACAATGTTTGTCTCTTCCAAATATCAAAATATGTTTAAAATATTTTATATATAAATGTTAGTTTGATGATACAGTGGGAACAATGAAGATGAAGCATTGTGTTCCGTGGAGAAAACGGTGTTGAAAGAAATAAATCTTCTGGAGCCTTACAAATCAGTCACATAAACACACAGGATATCTGTCTACACATCCAATATTTTATTCATTAAAATTGAAGTTTTAGACATATTTCTCAAAAATATTCAAATGCATGCACATCTTGTATGCATTAATATGTCTAATTCTTAAATGATAAAAATTCCTTCCTTAAGAATGTGTCCTCCCATTACACATGTCTCTTGGTTTTCATGGAATAGCATATCTGAAAGACATACCTTCCCATGAATAATTCTTTCTCTGTCATGCCTTCTTTCACTTAGGAAAGATTTGAGTTTATAACAAGTTAATAGTTTAAATGAAAATCTAAGTAAAAACTAATGGATCCTGCAACAATATAAAGCAGGAATCTAAATTTCCTTTTTGTTTTTAATTAAAATAAAATGCTTCGCTGGGCGCAGCTTGATACGACCGCAGAGGTCGAACCCTGAACAGTTGGGGCAAGTATGGACACAACATTCAAGCTTGATACAGCTCTGAATTTGGATTGTGATTAAATATTTGACACAGCATAGGTTTCTGACACAGAAAGAATGTGGTCTAAGAACTTCAATTTTTTTAATTTACCTATTATGGTCCAATGTCCAAAATCAAAATACATGGTTAGATTCAGCATATCAAAGAACCCCATATATTCAATTTTTGTTGAAATCAAACAAAGTTTAATTTTGGACCCCAACTTGGACAAACTTGAAAACTGGTCCCATAATCAAAAATCTAAATACATGGTAAGATTCAGCATATCAAAGAACCCCATATATTCAATTTTTGTTGAAATCAAACAAAGTTTAATTTTGGACCCCAATTTGGACCAACTTGAAAACTGGGCCTAAAATCTAAATACATGTTTAGATTCAGCATATCAAAGAACCCCATATATTCAATTTTTGTTGAAATCAAACAAAGTTTAATTTTGGACCCCATCTTGGACCAACTTGAAAACTGGTCCCATAATCAAAAATCTAAACACATATTTAGATTCAGCATATCAAAGAACCCCAAAAAATCATTTTTTGTTAAAATCAAACTAAGTTTAATTTTGGACCCTTTGGACCTTAATGTAGACCAATTTAAAAAACAGGACCCAAAATTAAAAATCTAAATACACGGTTAGATTTGGCATATCAAAGAACCCCAATAATTCAATTTTTGATGAAATCAAACAAAGTTTAATTTTGGACCCTTTTGACCTCAATATGAACCAATTTGATAGCGGGCCCACAAATAAAAAATCTAAATACATGGTAAGATTCAGCATATCAAAGAACCCCATATATTCAATTTTTGTTGAAATCAAACAAAGTTTAATTTTGGACCCCAATTTGGACCAACTTGAAAACTGGGCCAAAAATCTAAAATCTAAATACATGTTTAGATTCAGCATATCAAAGAACCCCATATATTCAATTTTTGTTAAAATCAAACAAAGTTTAATTTTGGACCCCAACTTGGACCAACTTGAAAACTGGGCCCATAATCAAAAATCTAAACACATGTTTAGATTCAGCATATCAAAGAACCCCAAGAATTCATTTTTTGTTAAAATCAAACTAAGTTTAATTTTGGACCCTTTGGACCTTAATGTAGACCAATTTAAAAAACGGGACCCAAAATTAAAAATCTAAATACACGGTTAGATTCGGCATATCAAAGAACCCCAATAATTCAATTTTTGATGAAATCAAACAAAGTTAAATTTTGGACCCTTTGGACCTCAATGTGGACCAATTTAAAAACTGGGCCCAAAATCCAAAAACTTAATACACGGTTAGATCCAGCATATTAAAGAACCCCAAGAATTCAAGAATAAAACCCCATTGAAATTGATCAAGAAATAAGCAATTTATACGAAGTATCTTCTTTTGCACAATACTGTGCAATTGAATATTTCTTGCTATTGCGCAATACTGTACAATTGACAATTTCTTGCTATTGCGCAATATTGTGCTATTGGATATTTCTTGCTATTGCGCAATACTGTGCAATTGAAGATTTCTTGCTATTGCGCAATACTGCGCAATTGAAGATTTCTTGCTATTGTGCAATACTGTGCAATTGAAAATTTCTTGCTATTGCACAATACTTATTATATAATAATTTACACATCCTGTTTGGTGTGTATCTCCTACCATATCATTATTATTTGCTTTTAAATATAAATCAGAAATAACCAACTTAAAATGGAAAATTTTAAAAGAAAAAAAAAAGGAAAAAAAGAAAAAAAAAAAAAAAAAAATCCCCCCCCCAAATTTTTTGAACCCCCTTATGATTCATCACCCCCAAACTCAATCCCAGCCTTCCCTTTGTGGTATGGTACCTTGCAGTACAATTTCAGAGAGATCCATACACTTGAACACAAGTTATTGTCTGGAAACTAGAAAAATGCTTATTTTTGGCCCCTTTTTGGCCCCCAATTCCTAAACGTTTCGGGCAATTACCCCAAAACTCAATTCCAGCTTTCCCTTTGTGATATGGAACCTTGTAGTACAATTTCAGAACTATCCAAACACTTACACACAAGTTATTGTCATGAAACTAGAAAAATGCTTGTTTTTTGCCCCTTTTTTGGCCCCTAATTCCTAAAATTTTGAGGCAATTACCCCCAAAATCAATTACAGCCTTCCCTTTGTGATATGGAACCTTGTGGTACAATGTCAGAGAGATCCATACACTTACACACAAGTTATTGTCTGAAAGTTACAAAATGCTTATTTTTGGCCCCTTATTCCTTAACTGTTGGTACCATAACCCCCAAAATCAATCCCAACCTTCCTTTCGTGGTATTGAACCTTATGGTGAAATTTCATCGAGATCCATTCACTTAAACTAAAGTTAGAGTGCGAAAACCAATGTGTCTTCGGACGACGCCGGACGACGACGACGACGACGCCAACGTCATACCAATATACGACCAAAAAATTTTTAATTTTTGCGGTCGTATAAAAAATAATCTGATAAAAAATGGGTGTTGATAATTTGGACAGTAAATGAAAAATAAAGATCCAATTGGTAAGAGTTATCAATCTATCCTTGCAACAGTTGAACTATGACCCCAAAGGAAACTAGTTACACAGGCTCTTTATCATCAACCTTTAAAAATGTCTCTTACCAATGGAATGTGTTCAGGATAACAAATAAAACATCTGTTACATATTTGTATTTTTGAAATATATAAAGATAAAAGAGTTATTGTTCTTTTTTAACACAAATAATAATGACCCTATCTTCTGACAAAGCTTGGTTAGTATGACCATGGTATGACAGAGAAGTTTCCCCTCTACACGATGCACAAGATACACACATACAACAAACACTGGTTATAACATAGGATTATTTTATCACCTTCTGATTGAGTAGTAGAACAGGTAATAGTCCTAGCAGAACCCCTCTCCCTTCCCTGCCCAAAAATTGTGGAGGAATGATTTTTTTTTCAAAACATTGACTATTACTAGATGTATACTGTGGTTTTTTTTATATTCCTTGAATAGCAATTTTAGTTAACTTCGTGTCTAAGAAAAACCAAAATTATAAAATTACTCAAAACACTTTTATTGAGATGCCCTCTTAATAGCAATTTTTCCGCGAAATAGCCTATGAAAATAAATGACTCCACAGTATATCAAATGTGTTATGTTTTTTTTCTAAATTAATGATCTTTTCAATGCTTTAAATGATGTAAAGAATCTATGGTAATAAGGAGAATATGTTTTGTATAAAGCCATGATATTTAAATACAGGTTAAATATCAAAACTTGAACTTATCTACTTGCAGAGGTTATTTGACTCTCATGTTAACATTTGATCATGCAATATGGCGCACGGTGGACGATACAGATGATGTTAACATGCAAGTTAATGCGATTATTGTATGTTGTGTATTAGGACTGCATGCGCTACAATACAAAACCAGGTTTTATGTACTTTTTTGCAAAATTCAATTACTTTTATAATATTTTTCTTTTTAAATGAAACTTCAATAGTTTTTTTTCCAAAAAAGCTGAAGACTGAAAAGTTAGTAAGTCAAGGTTAAAGTTGAATGATGGAGTATAAAACATGGTTTAGCTCATGCCAGCATTCATTTCTGCGTGCTACTTGCTAAGTATGCTTTCTACAATTATCTTTATTTGACATTCTACAACTGAAAGAGAGGCCAATCTAACAATGTATACCTCCAGGCTTGGTCATCACTTGTTCCAGGTCAGATATAGGTCCTTCTCCCAATGTGGAGTAGGCCAGTACACAAAGGCTGTATGTCTTGTTAGGCTTTAGTTCTGTTATTGTAGCCTGGCGTTGATTGGCCTGAGGTAGAGGTACATCTAGAGTTGTCCATAGTGTAATTGGTAGGTCTGGTTCTAAGGTATAAAATATCTTGTAACCCTGCAAATAAAAAAAAACTTGATTTTCTAAAAATAGAAATATTTTTCTTTATTTAATTACAGACTGAAGTGGTATTGATGGCAGATTCTTTAAAACTGTTTCTGTTAAATATATTCACAACTTTATCAGACTTAGGGTGAATCAGAGCTTGAAGACAACTCTCTATTGTTGAAGACTGATTATTTGTGTGTCAATGGGTTGCTGTCTATTGATCTATATCAAACTTCTCTTTTTATTCATATTTATAAAACTATTTAATATCTTTATATGCCATAGGAGATCTTTTCTGTTGTTTAAATGTATAAAAAAAAAAAAATAACAAAAAAACCCCAATATAACTTAAAAATTTTCCTTTTTTTTTATGTTCAAGTTGACATCTTTTATTGGTATTTAATTTCCATTTTTCTAAAGTTCAATGAAAAGCATTGACTTCCATTACTAATATATCAGTTTTTAATTCTTTGATTCTTCATCTTTTTAAAGACTCTACGTCTTTATTGGTCTTTGTTTTGTTTTTTTATTTCAAATCAAATGAGATGAGTTATTCTTGTTTTATATTGTTATCTGTACTTCCCATCCTTTATTTGGAGTTATTCTTGTTTTATATTGTTGTCTGTACTTCTCATCCTTTATTTGGAGTTATTCTTGTTTTATATTGTTGTCTGTATGTTAAGTTTCAATATTTTCCTTTATTTTCATGACTACAGATTTAGTATGATGATAATCATCACTTAATCTTGACCACAACTATATCAAACCTTAATGATGCCATTTGGTTTAGCTGGTTCATCCCACCTGACCAGTACTGTAAGGGGACTGAGGGCTTCAGCTCGCACATTCTTTGGTGGTGTTCCAGGGGCTGAAATGATAAAGTATTTAGACTTTAAAAACCAGGCGTTACAAAATTACAATCCAACTATTAGTACTAGATTGCTCTGATGTCTGATTGCACTTTTTAGGACTTGCTGGGGTCATGGGACCAATTCTGAGATATATAATCCACATGTAGGTGCTACTGGAAAGTTGCTAGATAGAAATGAAAAGTTCAAAATTGGGAAGCTAAAATCACCTACTTTGTAGTAAAGTTTAGTTCTCAACCGACTCTCATTGTAAATTTTTAGATGCAAGTCAAATTGTATTAAGTATACTTGCTTATTGACTGATCTTGTGGTCAGTTTAATTGTCATGGAAATGTGACAATGCCCACAAAACTTCCAACTTATCTATTTCCTCCTACCTTAGCAAAGTCAGTGTAAATACTGTAACTACTGTAAATTCAGAAATTATTGCGTGCATTTATTATTGCTATTTTTGAAGAATTAACAAATATGCATGTTTGATTATTGCGATTTTAGGAAAAGCTACATAAAGATATATGTATTTGATGAAAGAATGCGAGTTCTTATTATCATTGCTATATTCAAGTAGTCGCATTATTCACATTAATATAAACCTCACAATAATTTCTGAATTTATCCCTTGATATAACAGAAGCCTAGAAAGTAAGTTACTGCTGAGTTGAATTAAACCTGCAAGAAATAAGCCGGTGATTCACCTTCTAGAGAAGTAAACTTATCAAGGGTTAAATTTTGTTCCCCAAAAAATTTTAAACATCATATTTTGTTTGTAATGGCCATTTTGATTGGAAGACCTCATATATTTTGAAGAGGGAAAAACCTTTGGTTTGCCTTCAAGAATGCTCTGCATAATCACAAATGACATTTTTGTTTATCTAAAAAGTTCATTTGAACAGGCACGATTTAGCTAGTGCATTTAATTAGAAATTACCAGATATATCTTAATACTTGAAGACATCAATCATAGTTTTTACAGTCACAAATAACTGTTTTCAATCTCAATTTATGATAGTAATATCAACCATTGCCTTCAGTAAGTATTAACATGAATTAGTTTTTCTAAAATATACTGCTAACAAAAAAGTATGTATAACAAAATAACTTCATGGAAAATGTAGAATATTTCAAAGATTTTTACATCTTATTTATTTTATGAAGATAAAGAAACTAAGAAGCAATCATTTACTTCAAATCAAATTAGCAAAATAAATTGCAATCAAATAAACTACTGAAAGAAACAAGCAGTCAATCCTCCATTACTTAGTAATATCAGCAGAGAATTTGGCAAACTTAGGGTTCTGTGATTTATCTCTGCCATCACAAGATAGGACAACAAAACATACAAATGATGTCAGAATCACAACAGGAGGTCTCATAGATGCTTGAAACTATCAGAAATATTGATATGAATCTTAATGTAAAATGACTCAGGTGTATGGTAAAGGTATGGCTGAGGTGAACAGATACCCCATAACAAATTGTAGTACTATTCTTAATTTATATATTCAAAGAAAATTGTAAAATAAAACTCTAATCAATTTGTTATTAAAACTAGAGCAGAAACTTGTATTTTGTATATTTAAATTCTGAAACTATTAACATTATTATTTGAAAAACGTAACATTTGGTGTGTGTATAATCAGGTATACTGCAGCCTTCAGCATAACTTCCCTTATACCGTTTTCTAAGGAAACAAGCAATACATTTTTGAACAGGATTTTTTAATATTTTTTGAGTGAAATCTAACTGGGAACTTATAAATTTTTGTGTGTGTATTGGTTATAAAGTTGTAAATCTTTTCTTTTGTAATGTCTTCAATTGCAGAGAACATTGTAAACATTACTTTCTGGCATCTGCCTGCTAGCCATTGAATAACAAACTTGTTGTCTGACCACATTTCATACCAACCACCCCTCATAGTAATAAAAAAGTGTGTAATAACAATTAACTATAATGTTGATAATGAAAACTGACTGAAATTTGGCAACCTAATGACTCCTAATTAATAAACTTGAGGAAAGTGACCATGATCTATAATGTGTGAATAATAAATCATAGATACATTATATTCATACTAACGAATAGTACATCAAGGAGAAATAGTGTATACATTTTACAACACCACTCTCATAATTCAATGATAGTCAATTTTCAAGTTTGTAAGAACTGGGAATTTAATGATGAGTTGGAGGAGACAGGCAATATATATAGAAGTTGGTGTCACCCTACATAGTTTCTTAATTTTATCATGCAAATTGTAAGAATAATGAAACAAATGGAATTGGTGGTGTAACAATGTCACATCTATTTCAGTTTTGATTAGAACTCGTAATTTCCTGTATAATATAACATAGTTGGCTTCACAATCCATTTGACACCTCCTGGCCAATAAAAAAAATATTGGATGAAAGATCTTCCATTGAAAGCATATACATTACAAATATAAGACATATTCTAGTCTAGGGATTCGAGGTAAACACATCAATTACAATGAGAACACAACCAGATAACTTAATCAAATTCAAATAATCCAGATAAAATTTTCTAAAAACAAAATAGGTTTATCATATGATCTGACTAAAAACCCATTAGAAAGATCAGAATAAAAGACATAAAGTCTTCATAACAAAATAACTTAAATTCTATCAAACCACCATTTCCCTTAATCTTTAGCCTGACATATGTTGTTTCCAAAAAAAGTTTGAAATCTTCCTAAAAGCTGAAACTGATTACTATCATGTACCTAAATGCACTTGGTGTAAAGTTCTAGTGCACATTAATTGGATTGTAGACAAAGATTGAATACCTAATTACTTCTGTTTACTTATTTAAAGCAAGGGATAAAACGGTTCACTGACTGTACAGTATCTCTGGAGAAAACACACAAAATATCTGTGTTACTATAGATAAAATGGTGTAAGTACTATGACCCATGTCCAATATGGTACATTTCAATACAATATTTGAAGCCTGAAAAACATTTGTTTGTTTTTAAAGCTAGATGAGTGTTCATACACAGTTATAAAGATAATTGTACATATTTAGTTGACAAATGATACAAGTATGAAATTCAGCAGGAATACCTAGATGATGATTTACTATTATGGTCATTATGATATTCCTGAGGAAAATGATATGATTCGTTAAGTGTTCTAAAACACCAGAAATTCAACCAATTAGGTGCCATTATTTCTATTTTGTTGGCTTTCTGCATAGAAATATTGAGACATTTGACTTTCTGCATAGAAATATTGAGACATTTGACTTTCTGCATAGAAATATTGAGACATTTGACTTTCTGCATAGAAATATTGAGACATTTGACCTTCTGCATAGAAATATTGAGACATTTGACTTTCTGCATAGAAATATTGAGATATTTGACTTTCTGCATAGAAATATTGAGACATTTGATTTCTGCATAGAAATATTGAGATATTTTGTTTAGTGACAACCTTGGACTTCGGTCTCTGGTGGATAGCTCTCTCATTGGCAATCCTATCACATCTGCTTATTTCTATACAGCAATTTATACCATAGATTGAATGAAGTATCAGAAAGGATAAACCATTAACTTTCCCTTTATATTAAATGTGAGTGTTTTAGTGCAGTATATCTAATGACTGTTTTAGTAGTCTTTGAACACATGCAAAAACAAGTGAAAATTTCCTAGCTGACTTGCTGTATCTCTGGATGTTATCATGTGCAGTGAATAGGAAACAGAGTGTCTATAATCTTATTAAATAGGTTCAATAACCAGGTTTATAAAATAATTCTTAAGCCAAAGACATCAGATATATTTCCTATAGACAGGGGATTTGAAGTTAGAGATCAGATATAGAAAATTTGACAGGTGTTTCCACATTCAATACTACAAAATCAGGCTGGAATGTTTTTATACTTCTGTTATATCGATTGCTCGATTGCTTTGCTATTTGTGTAGGGTTGAATACATTGTATGCTGGCTGCACCAAGTAATACTACATTGCTTGAATTGTAGATGCTATTATTACGTTTATTAACAACCATCATTACATCATTTCTACAATAAATATAACAAAAACTTAGAAAATTCATTAACGGAATCACATACCAGGAACATCAAAAAAACATCTAATTATTCCTCATTATCAGTAGCAAATTGTTATCATAATAATTTATTGGCAATCATGCACAGAAACAAGATTCATATACAGGAAAATAATAATATTTCAACCACAATTTTGTTTTGAAATCGAAGATAATTATTTAACAAATAAGAAACATACAATAAATAATTCTGTATACGTTCCTCAGATGTTTTTTTATTTAATTTTATCCTCAAATGGAAATTCAATGTTGAATAGTGAAGGCTTTATGAACTGGATGCATTTTAATGTCAAATAAGGAATTTAGGCTCTCGGAACAATGTAGAATTTAAACCTTAACTGCTGGCATTGCTTGAAGGAGAAAATAAGTGTTACCTTTTTGCAACAAATTATACTAATACATTCTATCTAATTACAAAATGTACTTATTATTCAAGTATACAACAGCAGTTATATAAAACATAAAAGAAGCATGTTTTTGACTGTATACTAAAGTGAAGTAATTCTATGACCCATCAAAATAGATAAGACACTAAAGAGAAATTAGAGCTAAACACTTTCATACATTAATTGTTCACTGTTGAGTATTTACACAATGATTTCATTAAATGTAATTGGATATCCTGCATTTATAATGCTTTATCCTAAATTAAGATAAAAAAAGACCCCCTCCCCTTTCTCAATGACTGAAAGCCTATCAATTTGCATGAACTATAAGTTATGCCATAATACTAAGTTGGCTATCACATCAAGCACCCTCAGGGAATTATCTAATCAACAACATCCAAGACCAAACTTGTATTGTATATTTCTTTTGGGTTACTGGATTGACCCTGTACTTTGAGGTGCTGACTGAGACCATCATATTTGTATCCGTTTTTGCCCAAAAGAAACTTTACGCTGAAAACTGAGTA